AAACAGAAAGGAACCCGTGGCTCCAGATAATCCCCCTCCTGCTCACAGAGCACAGCTGTGCTCCACAAAGAGGCAGCAGGCATCACACTGCCTTTGCTCTACTGTGAAGCCAGCATGCTACAAAAGGGGGAACGCAAGACCTGACTTCGGCCTTAGGAAAATAAAAAAAGCAATTCATGTGAGGGATAAGAAAAAGCATCTTACGTATTCATTAAATATAGAAGTGTAGATGAGCTTGTTTTCTTCTGACTCATCGAACTCCTGGTAGTGCTTCTCCATAAAACTCCTCTGTATGGACTGGAAGTCGTCATCTGGACCACAACAAAAACGCATCATCCACTTGGGGGTTGAGTCACTCTTTTCACAACAGAAACCCCACTGTCACCAGCCCTCTGCTCTCCTGTGGCAGCCACCCGCGTGGCACACGTGCAGGCAGTCACACCAGGAGCACAGCTGCTGCTGGGCCAGATCCTGGCCCATCTGTGAGAGTACAGAGGGAGCAGCTCCAGCTGAGGGAGCCCATCACCCGTGGCAGCAGCACACGGCTGCTTTTAGGCAGCAGCTCTGACCTCAGGGTGGAATTTAAAGTCAATTGTCTTCCTACAGCTTCTCAAATTCAAAAGTACCAGCAGGACCGCCAGCTACTGAAGGCTTTTTTTCCCACTTGTGGAAATGAATAAAGCAAATTAGCACCAAACTCAACACAACAGGCAGGCTGCACACCTCTTGGTTAAGGTGAGAGCTGATGATTGCCTCTGCTCACACAGTACAGGACTGGCTTCACTGAACATTCTTACCACCAGCAGGTTCTGCCACATCGCAGGCTGCTGTTGTGCAAACAGCACACAAAAGGCTTTCCTGTACACTTTTTTACTGCAGCAATGATGAGAAGAAAGGAAAGAGAGGAAAGAGCTTCCATGAGCAGGCAGAGGGTAGACCGGCTGTGTGTGTGCAGCATTTTTAGCACCCATCTTGCCTGCTTGCTGAGCTTACCCATGATGATATCCTCCAGGTACCCAACGATGGCATCAAACTCTGCATCAGATGGGGAGGAGCTGAAAGCAGAAAAGGTGCATAAATACACGCTGCAACTACGGGAGAAATAAACTTTACAATTAAGAAATGTTAAGGAAAGGCCAAGTGCAGGGAAAGCCCAATAAAGCAAAGCAACCACAATTTCCTAGTGCCAACCTAGGAAATATTCCACGAGACCGATCATGAGACAGCTGTGTGGGATTTTCATTAGGCATCTGTAATGTTTTCCTAATTAAAAAGTTGTTTTACTGGTGTTAATGTTACATAATTCCAGTCCAGATGCAAAAAGAACGAGAAGAGTACAACCATAACACCAAATTAAACATTTTCCATGCTGTAAATCCAGGCTTCTACCACATTTATTTCCTGGATAACTCAACGTGGTGACCACGGAACTTTAGATGCTGTTTTGCAGTACTTAGCCTTCTTAAACTCAATAAATACATGTATTATTTCACTAAAGAAACTTAAATGCTTTTTCTTGTGCATGCTGCACGCAAAGGGCAGAGCCTCATAAGGTAATGAGCCTCATAAGCAGTAAGCAGATGTTAAGCATCATGAATGATCTGAACACATCCGGAGAAGGAACTTTTAGCAGCAATATTTCAGAACCCTGCTCATTTTATGGTTCTTGTTCAGACACATCAGTTAGAAGCAGAGCAGAACTCTCCCTCAGACTGTGCTGCTTTCAGACAGCAGAGCATCAGAATTCAATCAAGAGCAGTTGAACTGTCCGGCCATAGGGCTCATCCTGACCAGAAAAAACGTAAAGATATTTGAATAAAGAATGCATATGATCACCAGGCCATGTTCCAGCAACATCTGTGATGTGTTGAAGCTTAGAAGATGAGGTGTGGGAAGGCCAGCAGAGCAGAAAGCACACATTTCCACCAGAGGGCACAGCTCAGCCAGCAGAGGAGCTCCCAGAGGGCAGCAGCAGCTCTGCGTTCCTCCATGCCTTTCTGACTTTAAGCAACAGGGCTTCTCATTTTGCATTTCTATGCAAGACGACCTTACTATGGATAATTTACTTTTCTTTTTTCTCTCTCTCCCCGTGAACACCACCACCGTCTTTAGAGGCTTTTCCAGCTTATATTTCACAGCTTATTCTATTAATTTAAGCCAGTTTCAGCTTGTGAAGCACACCACCCTGTTCCCTGTAGCTGTTCCCAACCAGCATCGATTGAGTTTCTCTAACCACACCTATACCTGCACATCTCAGCAAACACACGCTCACAAAGCAGCCCGTCGTTTAAGCACACCAAGGCCAGCACAACCTGTGCTGCTGTAGCAGCCCAAGGTCCGTGTGCCCTTGGGACAAGACAAACAAATGATGGAGAGAGGCACAGCCACATCCCCTTCGGCCACAAGCTTCAGATGAAGAGCACGGCAGGGAGAATAGGGTGAGCCTTAACACCCACCTGTGTAAAATTCGGTTGGGTCATGGAAACAATGGTTGGGCTGGGAGGGATCTTAAAGCCCATCCAGTCCCAAGCCGTGCTGCCAGCAGGCACATCTCTTATGGATCAGGCTGCCCGGGGCTCCACGCAGCCCGGCCCTGAGCACCTCCAGTGGGGCACCCTCAGCTCGCAGGGGCTCACCGCCCTCACACTGACAAGCCCTCTGAGCCCCCACTCTTTCAGTTCAAAGCCTCACGCTGTCACTGCAGGGCTGTCCGGCTCAGCGCACGGAGTTTGGACTTCATCTCAACTCTGAACGCATGCTCCTCCTCCTTCCCAGGGCTCTGCACTGCTCTGCGCCCTTGTCGTCCCGAAGGGCAGCATCTACTAAGCAGCACGGCATACATTCACTCTCGCATTAAATTCCTATTAAGATACGTTAAGCAGGAAATAGCTGCCGTCGGACCCGACGCAGAACGCAGCACACTTACACGGCTACACCGAAGTTCTCCTCCTCCGAGCTCTCCATCCCTCCTGCACAACGCGCAGCAAGCTGCGCTCTTCCTTCTCGCGGCACAAAGTACTGAGAAATCGCACACGGGGAGGCGTTAATAGAAAAGCAATTAAGCCAGACGGACCGCAGGCCCACCCGGCGCACACACCGCCCCGCACCGCCCCCCCCCCAGGGCCCCGCACGCCCCCCGGCCCTGCCGTTACCTGGGAAACGCTTCCTTCCGGTCTGGCTGCAGCCAATCGCAGAGCGGAAGCGGCCGCAGAAGTCCCGCCCACACACCGGGAAGAGCCAATGGGAGAAGGCGCGTGCCGCCATGGCAAGCCGGGATGGAGGTGGAAACGAATGGGATGTCGTCCTCCATAAGCTTCCCCCTCACAGCTCTGAGGCCATAACCCCGAGTCCCAGCACAAGCAGAAGCACAAGAGAACGGTAAACACTCTTCAAGACGTTTTATTTTCAAACAGACCGACTGTGCCACGCTCCATCTCTCCCTTTCTTTAGTTTCCCACCCCTCAGAGCCCCACAGCGAGCACCCGCTCCCCACAGCCACCCCATGGCGGAGGGCAGCAGAAAGCCAGCCCCACCTACAGCCTTTCCATACGTGAAATGAATAGGACAGCCCTCTGCAACACAACCCCTTCGGGTGCTGCTGGCTCTCTGCCCAGCAAAGTACTCTAAAGCATTCAGGTCTCCTTGTGAAGCAGCATGCACTCAGACCCACGTCCACAAAGGCACCTGGGTTATTTGGACCCCTATGTTGCAATCAGACACCTCTGCGGGCCTTGGAGCCTATCTCATACAGCACTTGGTACTGAGCAGGATTCCCAGGCACCTGGGGGAAGTTTTACCTCAGTTAATCCTGGCCAGGGAACCCAAAGCCTAGAGTTGACGGCATCCATTAAGGCAGAGTTCAAAGTGGTTCTGTCCCACTTCTTCCTCTACAGCACGCTTCGTATCTTTGTGCCTATCGTTGCATTTGGAAGCATTTGGAATTTCATCTCTAAAGATTCCGAAAAGCAGAATGGCAAAGTGGAAAACACCTGAACTTTGCAAAGTAGAGTCCATGGAGAAATGAAGAGGCCCAGGCACCCGTTTGCCATCTGACCTTCATCAAAACAGCTGGAAGAGAATTCACATTTCAGCAAGACCAACCCTCGCTCCGCTCCCGATTCAGTCTGTATTTGGAAAAAAGCTCAACAACAAAGTGATGCACAGAACTTTCCTAGTGAACACCTTTTACGTGAGGCTCAGAGGACTTCTCTCCCTCCTCCTCCTCCGGATTAAATTCAGCACCCTTGAGTTAGGGAAGGCAGAATGTGAGAGGAACTGCTAGACAGCTTGATTCTGTGTGCAGTGCTGTCAGTAGGAAGCAAAAGTACTCAGCATGAGGAATACATCTCAGCTTTCCTAACAAAGATGGTAAAAGGTTGAGGATAAAATACCTCACAGCGTGAGAATTCACTACAACAGTCTCCACTACTGAATCGCTGCCAAGAGGTGGGATGGTTATGGTCTAAGTTATGTATGCATTAGTAGAGTTCTACTATATATCCCAATAATTTAAAAGAGCAACCTGTACAAGTCTTGGAAGAGAGTTACACAGCCTCGGTGCAAAATAAGCTTAACTCCACTGACTTTTGTGCTACTTCACCAACTGAACCCTGACTCCTTGTAGAAACCTAACTAAGTGGTCAAAAGCTGCTGCTGAAACACATCCTCAACACGCAAATGTCACAAATGTGTAACTCAAGTGGAGCAGACGTTTCCCCCCATAAGATCCCTACCAAAATACAAAGTGTGGCCCCAAACCTGCTCAGAGCAGGGCTGATACATGACAAGCAAGGTGCATTTTTAAGGAGTTACAGAATAAGACTGAACTTGTTACTTGGATAACATTCCCCCTCCCCCTTCAAATACACTGGCCCAGAATTCTTCTCTACGCTTTTAAGTTAGCTCAATATTTTCCAAAGTGAACATAAGCTTCAAAAACAATACTAATTAAAAAAAGATGTCTGTAGATACCTTAAAAAATACCCAGAATATCAAATTAATTCCAGTCCAGCATTATAATTAGTTAAGAATACCTCCCGAAAATGATATCCTCACAAAAAAATGTGGATATTGAAGTTAAAAGCATCAGAAACATTATGTACTTGAAAATACCACCAGCCTTTGAGTAGTTAAAAACAAATCAGAATTTTCTTTGGAATCACCGAGTTATGAAAACGTGAATTTCTCTACAGTCTCCACACTGTCCTTTCAAATCAGTCTGTGTACAGATCAAGTCTTGGAGCAGTTCAACATCCACTGTTGGAAGATATAGTCTCTGACCAGCAGGAGGCTACATTGAACATTGGCATTTCTTTTTCAGTATTGACTTCTGCCCAAAATAGAGGCTTTGGAGCACGAGACTGAGCGGCCCTGCTGCAGGAGAGATTTCCTTTCTGAAATGCATTGTATGTGTACTTCCAGTGCAAATTTTTTTCAGCACTTGCGACAGGCGAGAAGGAAAAGGGGAGGAAGAGAGACGCCCTCCTATGCTCTTGCTTGGAGGAACCAATAGCCATAACACACCAAACTACCAGCTTTCCTTACTGTTGAAACCAGTTCCCACTGCTGGCAACCTGAAACAGCTTATTAAAGATTTTTTTTTTCTTTTTTTTTTTTTTTCTTTTTTTTTTTTTCTTTTTTAAGATAATCAGCTTACAGTTTAGCATGAAATCTGGCCATGGCTACGGTTCTATGTGCGTAAAGATTGGTTAGAGATGCTTTCCCCTTTCTGTATTGGTTGGAGTTCATTAAAAACAAGTCTGTAGTACTTCACGTGTGTCATGAAATGTGAGAAATCTGTCTGACTCGGGTCTGTATTTCCTGTCGACACAAAGGGCAGGTCTCCAGTTGCAAGGCACACTCCATGCACAGGTCACTGGAGGAGAAAGAACAAGAAAGAAAAGGCCTGGGTTTACAGCATTTACAAATATTTACAAAACAAAAAGAAAAAAGATAAAATAATCAAACGTTCCACAGTTTATTCAGCCTGCTTAAATTCAAAAAAGCAATCAAGGTTAAGTCTTTCAGTGCAGAGATCAGGAACGGCGAGTCAGGCGTTGTGGGTCCACGCACTTTGAGAGGAGCTCTTGCTGCTCAGCACCTTACAGAGCTGCTGGTGCAGACTGCCAGGATGACACCTGCACTCTTTACTTCATCTCAGCTCTGGTCTGGAGTAGAGACTGCCAAATTTGACACAGCTTCTTGCTGAGGCACACTGGGTGTCTGCTCTTCTTCTACTTGGAAGCAGTCTTGCCATTGTCTTCCTGCCACAGTGAGTGCTCTAAAGACACTACAGAACTGGACTTCACTGCATTAGCTTCCCAGTAGGCTACTGAGAATCACAGGATGATTAAGGCTGGAAAAGGCTTCCAAGAGCATCACATCCAAGCGTCTTGGGCTACTTCAACGTAGGAAAGTACCAGGTGCCAGTATTTATCATGCTGCTGCCCCATTTTCATCTTCTATAGAAATTTGTGACTTCAGATTATCGACTTACTGAATGTTTAGTGAATATCTGGGTGTACAATGAGTTTTCTACTCCCCTCATGATATGGATTGTGCACGCAGCACCTGTACTAAGCCAGCATTCATCAGCAAAACCTTTGAAACCAAGTTAGACTGCTCTGTTCCTTGCCCAGAGCTAGCATGCTCACAGAGCCACCGTGTAAACCCAGCAAGGTTGGTAGGAAAGGGAGGAAGTCTGTGCTAAACTGCCATCAGACACATCCTTAAAATGATGAGTTATTTCCTTTGTGCTCTGAAGTCAATCAAGATAAGCAGGGACTGCATCTGACCTCAACTAAGATATGCAGACATTGTTTCTTGGTTGACTTTTTCCTATTTGCTTTTTATAAAAAACAAAATTTGTTTTTACCTGTGTCCACATGGCCTGAGTTCTGTGTCTGCTACCTCATCACAGCAAAGCGTGCAGCAGTTCTCTCTGATGCTCACTTGCTTCAGCAAAGCCAGACGCCTGTGTCTGAAGAAAGAAATGTATCCCTCACATTAGTTGGGCTCTAAACTACTTGGGGTATTGCATCAAGACCAACACAACACGTGCTCCTGCTCCTCAACACTGATAAACAGCTCAAACAATAAAACTTTAAAACATCCTGAGTTTCTCTGAGCAGCCTTTGTTCCCTTGCTCTGGTCTGTCAGAAAGGGATAAAGAGAGTTAGGTTACAGTTCCAGCTTTCACAGCTGAACATTTCCATTAAAGTGCTGTGTTTGTGTATTTTCCAGAGGAAAGCAGCACCTGTCCATCAAGAAAGCTTGGAAACCCCACAGTGCTGTACTACAGTTCAGAAGAACACAGACTGGAAAGAAAACTGACAGCCCAGTATATGGCAAACACCACAAGGGAAGACAGCACTCACTCCCTTCTCTTTGACATGTATGTTATACAAAGGAGTCCCTACAACATTTCAGGTGTAAAACCTGTACAAACACATATCCAATTACGTATGTACATATACATAGATGTGACAGATTATAATTATAAGCAGTGCTTATATAGAGAGAGGTGAGTGTATGCAGGTAAGTGCACGCATTAAAGAAAATTGTGTTAGTTGTTATTAGGATGAGGAAAGTCCTTTTTGATCAAGCTAGTTTATAAAAAAGTCCATGTGACATTTCAGACTAGCAGGTGATATCAGAGCAAGCTGGCAGAGCTCCCACCTTTGCTGAAATATGACATTTCAGATTTGGAATGCATTTACAAGACCAAGCCGGATGGTGGCAGGGTGCAGTGCCCAGCCCAGGTTAACACTGCATCCACTGTAACCCCACAGGAGTTTATGTTAACCCCAGTGATGGATAACTGGGGTCCTACCTTGGGTCCTAGCCTCTTTTCCAACTCCCTGTTAGGATCAAAGCTGTCTTGTAGCTGTATGCCAATCATAATCTACTGAACAGTTCAGATGCTGTGAACTAACATCATCCCTTCCACACAAAGAGAGGCAGTGTCCAATGCTGAATGGAGCCTTTCAGTGCTATCACTGGGTAGGCATAGACACAGGAGGTGAATGTCTCCAGGCAGACAGCAACAAGAAGCCAGTTCCACCTCCTTCTGTACAGCTTTGTGACAACCAAAGCCTCATTCTTGCAGCTATTGCTTAAGCACTGTGAGGCCAGGGCCACAGTGACACCAGTGCCATCACACCCAGTCATCAGCTCCTTCCAGCACACAGCCAAGCTGCCAAAGTCCTCATCCAGAGCATGAAACTGTTAAGACACCTGCTGTGAAGAAGGGCTGATCGAGAATGACAATTAACAGATCAGTTTAATGAGCTAAATCAGACTCTCACTTAAAAGACCTCCAGTGTCAAGCAGGTGTGAATTTCTCTGGCTACAAGGAAGTGCAAATTGTCTTGCAGGTTGGATTTCATTTCCTCCTTGCATGCACTCAGTTTCACACACCTCAGGCCTTGTGGCTCGAATCCAAGGTTAAGGTAGGTTTTCTATTTTTAAGTAGCATGCTGTTCCAGCACATAACTCACTGTAACAACCAGCTAGGTAATCCAAAACCAATCTGCTTTTCTCATGGCTGGGGTACCCACTTCCAACTTGATGAGAAGCAACAAAAGAGCCTCTGAACCACATGCAGAACAGCCTAAAAAGCCATCAGTAGACAAAGTTGGAAAGGGACACACACCATCATTCTCCTGTTACTGTGTGTGTGCCAGAAAATTGTGTCATTACTGATGACCTAATCCAGAAAAGCTGTTAGGTTTCAAACCTGCCAACAACACAGGAAGTTCAGGAAGGATTTACCCAAATTTTGCAAATTTTGGTGGATTTAGGTGGCTGAGCACATGGAAATTTGAATGACCTCTGCTGGTAGAATCAACGAAAAGGAGTTAACTTTCACTGCAATCAGAAAAGCCCAACGAGACTTACAGTAATTCAGAACCTGCACACTACCAACATCAAATTAGGTCACTTTTAAATAAGACACACTGTTTAATTACAACTATAGGTCCTCAATCAACCTAATCATTCTTACACAGCACGAGACACTTCTAGTCCAGTTTACTGTGCAACTTTAAATTAGCCTAATATCTCAAGGAATTACTTTAATGGTATGTCTGAGTATTTCTGTGGGCTCTATTTACTATACCTATGATATGATCCTTTTCTAGAAGAGACCTGTGCAGGCATGACCTCAGAAAAGATCACTCTTATAAGGATAGTGTAAGGCTACACAACTCAGAAGTGAAGTATTTCATTCCTCTGTACTCAGAGGAAAGGATTACCTTGGCAAAATGATCTTCTCCTCTGCTGTCAGGAAGGCATAATCATTAAAGGTACTAAATTTCATTGGTGGTGGGTATTTGAAAGGTTTTGCCCCGAAGTTGAACTCGCATTGTTGGTAAGACATGAAACTCGCTGCAGCAAAAAAGCCAGATCTGCAAGAGGAGGAAGAAACATTTGAGGATGTTACAGCACTGAGAGCTTTCTAGAAGCAATGCTTCATTACAAACAAAAATACACCCTGAACATTTTGTTAAATAGATCTGGTTAAGCTAGCTGGAAGAAAAACCTGTAACACACCCCATGTCAGCTGCTTATGTCGTCCCTTTCTTAGTTCTCAGCCTTGGAATTTACTGTCAGAATTTATCTGAATTTACTCCCCAGTCAACCAATAGAGGCTGCTTGCTTACAACTGGGATTAGTCACACTTACAGTAAGAGCAAATACATACATCTCAACAGCCCACAGCCTGATCCTCTTTACATCAATCAGCTCAGGTCTCTCCTTCAGTAGCAGAAGTGGAAATAACATTTTCCTCCCAAACAACTGTTTGGTGCACCTGCAACACTGACAGCCATTGGGGAGAGCCACGTGCCCTCTGCTCCTGGCTGCTTTATTTGATCAGGCACAAGACAGGCAAACCTGCAAGGCATACAGGTTCCCTACCAGCGAAGTACACCATGAATTCAGGCCTGCGAGCTCCCTTAGCACCATGCCCATCTGTCTCTCCTTGCTCCTGCAGGATTACCCTGGGACAGCTGTCTGCTTCACAGCCACACAGACACCTTATAAAAACACCAGAGCCATCACCCCTTTCAGTTTTATTTACAGGAAGGCCCCGAGCTGAATCATATTGTAACTGCACAGAAGAACCTGCAAAGTAAATGCCAGACTCCACATGAAAAGAGAAACAAGCTGAACAGACCAGATATTTTGTAAGACTTTACACTGTGCTGCTTCTGTCTTGCTAGCATCTTGAGCTTCGTTTTGATAAGGAAATCTGAATGAAGTGATTAGCACAGTAATGTCCATTTAGAAAGTACTGTAGTGTTTAATTAAGCTGCATAGGAAGCCTCTCTCAACTATCACAACAGCTTCCCAGGGCTGAAATGCTGAACTCCTCCGTGACAGTTAGAGGAATCAGTCACATGTTAATCGTAAGAGTTGGAAATATTAGCCTGACACCATCCTGTAATGCAGTCAGAGAGATTCTGCCCTGTATATTCAATACACTGCCCAGGCCCCAGCCCCACTGCAATGCAGCAACTTCATGCAGCCTTCAGAATGCACCAATCCACTCGATAACGTTATCTGAGTTGTGACATTTCTAAGCAACTTTCAGCTGGGAATTAACTTTTCAAATGGAATGTTTTTCAGGTAATTAGAACTGTTACCCATACAGGTCACTGTCATTCCCACTGAGCACATACTTACACAGCTGATGAAAAGACTTGCTTCTCGGCAGGCAGCTGGTTTCCATTTAAATAGAAGATCATTTGCTTTTCTTGCAAGTCTAGCAGAAATCCTATTGTGTCTCCTTAAGTGCAAAACAGAGATCGTTTAAATCGTTCAATTACACTGCATGCCAATAGCTGAAACAGTTAAATAGAAGCAACGTGTACTTTAGTGAGCTGTCTCACTAAGGGCGAGCACAGGAAAGGAGTGGAACAGGCTGTTCTAGCAAAACACAAGGCAATGTGGTCAATACATGAAGTATTTTAGTCTGCCTATGCTGTGCAACGGGATGGAAGGAGAGCTGTTCTCTCCCCACCTGCCTCTCCCTGGCTGTTCTGCAATTACTGAAGATACCCTCAGAACACATATTTGCTAACTTCCTAATATGCTTGTGCCAACCTTGGGAGAAATTTTTAATAGAAAAGGCAGCACAGAGAGCAGTTATCCAACTACACCCTACACGTATTGCACAACAAGAGCATGGTGCCCACTTTGCATCCTTCAGGCACTACTAGGAAAGCACAGTAATTATTAAACACTTCACATCATCGGGATTAGGCAGTAACTATTTCAGTCACACCTGCTAACAAGCTGTGATGCCTGCAAAAGGAAGAACACTGTGCAGAAATCCAGCTAGGATAAACAGCAAATTCAGATAGGCTGAATATAGTCTGAATACCTTCTTTCCAGCAGGGATGGGAATGTGGTTTACTTCTGGCATTATACCAAATCAGCTGCCGGCAGCCATCGTAAGCACAGGAATACTCATCATCTCCAATGCCATAACCTTCCTTTAGGAAAAGGAGAAGCATTTCAGCCTGCAGCCATTCCTCAGAGAGATCAGCTAAAGCATTCAAACTGAACCACTCCTCCAAAGCAAGATGGGATCCCTCCACCACCATCTCTGTTTTTCAAGAGCCTCGGCTTCGTTTTCACATCAGAATGAGTTTGTTGGAGAGCAAAGAGGAATAAAAGAAAGGGATATCCTCCCCAAGTTGTTTTTCAGTCTCTGTGAGCTATTCTGTCTATTTAAAGATCTCAAGTCCAGTAGCTGAATAGCTATCTTCCCTTCTATCTTCCCTTCTTGAAGCTTACAAAGTCAACACAGGCACACAACCTCTCTCTTATCTGGTAACAGACACCCACCCCGTTCCCAAGAGCGACCAGAACACACAGCACACAGACAGATATCAGTCCCATGGACCTTCACTGAACGTGCTGCATGTTCTGTCCCTCTCAGTGTCAGCCTCCCTCTGTTTGAAAGGAGTCCCAAGCAAACACAAGTTTCAGAGCAGCAGATGAATCCAATACACAGGAGAGTCCATACATGAAATCCAGAGGCATTTTGGAAGACAGCTTCCTTACGTGGTTGGTCTGCAGAGCAAACACCAGCCAGGGTCTGATTACATAAGGTGTCCCAATTAAAGTTAACCTCTGCTCATGAATGTTTCATGTCGTATTCAGGATCGGTTTTTTGTTTTGTTGTACATATTGGAAATAAAGAGCATGTGGCTTCTCTGATGCGTGCTCACAAGATAATTTCTTTATGTTTCAGACAGAAGCCTGATGAACTTATATGCCAGCAGCATTCAGTCACCAGCAAAACAACCATAGCAACAGAGAACCCAGCTCAGATATGACAGCTTCTGTTTATTTGTACAGGAAAGAGACAAAGCTGCATCCACACCAAGCACCTTAACAGTAAGTGGGGAAAAAAAATCTTTTAAACCTCTTAACATTCTGAAGGCAGACACGCTGTCTTTCACTTCAAACAGTTTCCATTACACTCAACAACAGCAATGCCTGTGCTTAGGACAGGTCTGTAGGGTTTGGCTGTTTTTGTTGTTGTTGTTTGGTTAACTAAATTTAAAACAGCACTCAGTGCCATGCTAGAATTGGGGGACTGGACTTTGGACGTGATACAGACACACATACCTGTACCAGCAGAAGACAATGCTATTTACACTACTAAAAAGTGCAGAAAGACCATAGGAAGATTCAAGGTAGATGGTGAGAAAGGCCACACTCCATTCCCATGTGTTTCTTGCCACTGATGTTTCCATTCACCTCACATCTCTTTTTGGCCTACCTTCATTTTAGCGTCTGCATTTGACACAGCTGTAGAATAACTTCCCATAATGATCAGAAATGAGCAGATTTAACTGCTCACCTCTATATTCAAAACAAGTAAACACTTCTCCTGAAGGAAATGCCAAGTGGGATCACAAAACCATGTAATGACAACTATGAAGTTTACCTGGATTACAGCTATATTTCTTGTCAAGCTCAGCCAGTAGGAATGTCAACTTAAAGTCTCAGCCCTGTCTTTCCATTCCAGTCAGCAGCAGTAAGCTGCATCATCTAAGCCTTCTGTATTGAATTTTTAACTCGTGCTTTGATGAACTTGACAATGGCTAACTTTGGAAGGCTGATAACGTGGGAAGTTCCTTCTAAGCTGAAGCAGACAAGTTTGTTGGGTAGCAGCCACTACACTTTCTCAGCATTATGAAAATAGAGAAGCAAATACAGTACAGCATATTGAGTTTGACAGCCATCCAGTTTTACCATGAATATTTAAGGAGAAAGAGGTCCCAGTTCCATCTCCACTAACATTAGCAGAGATTTTTCTCTGACTGTAGGTCTGGACAGCATGTTTGCCAGCACTTAAGTATGATGTGCCATGTAAGAGCACAACTTTAAAAATTAAATACTGAAAAGAATATCTAGAATAAGATACCAAGCTAGCTGGATTAGAGAATAAAAGAAACTGTAAATAAGCAAGTGTACTTATTCTATATTATCAGAACAAAGGTAAAAATGCAGAGAATTCAGTCTTTCTGTAATGCTTATGTTTAATCAAAAAAGCGCCACATTCCTGAACTGCATCACATCCCAAAATCGCCTGAAAAAAAATATTTCCCTAGTGAAAATTAACAGAACAGGAATATAAATATAAAGGGAGCCTACAAACAGGAGGGGAGCCAGCTCTTTACAAGGGCAGATAACAGCAGGACAAGGGGAAATGGTTTGAAGTTGAGGGAGGGGAGATTGAGGTTGGATGTCAGGGGGAAGTTCTGTACTATGAGAGCGGTGAGGTGATGGAACAGCTGCCCAGAGAGGCTGTGATGCCCCGTCCATCCCTGGAGGTGTTCAAGGCCAGGTTGGATGGGGCCCTGGGCAGCCTGGTTAAATGTGGAGGTTGGTGGCCCTGCCCTTCTATGGCTCTATGATTCTATGCTAAAGAGAGAAATCAAATGGCTGTTTGATGACCTGCACAAAAACGAGTGCATGATAACCTACCAGATCTTAGCAAGCAACTGTTTACTTCACAAAAAACACTGACAGAAACCACTGCTGTTACCTGAAGACTAAAGAGTTCCCAAGAAGAGCATAAAGCACAAGACAGAAACCATTTCCCTGTAACACACAGGCAATGGCAAGTAGATACGCTGTCTCTGCTAGCAATTATGAAACATTTGTGTGACCAGTGTCAGTGTGTTGCAATGACAACCCTGCCCTTCCTTGTACTACTTGCATCAATAAAAAACAGCTCTGCTAAAGTAGAGGAAAATTAAGTGAAAGGTGTAAGCACCCATTTACTGCCACAGAATAACCAGAGTTATTTTCCTGTGCGTTGAGAAGTACACGATTGGCTGGATGACACTGCATGGACTCACATGATTGAGGAATTTACTGTCTTTGGTAGCCCATCCTATCTGCATCACTCCTGAAGTAATGACTGTAACTTCATAGTACCAAACTCCAGAGTCAACGCAGAACGTACACCTGACGCTTTCAAAGGAGGAGGCATCGCACCGAGCCTGCCAAAACCAAGCCAGAAGTTAATCTGCTGCAAAAGAAGCATTTCAACAAACTCCTTTCCCCCCCCCTTCCCCCCTTGGATGAAGTTTCTTGCACGTAAGAATACACAGGCACAGTGTTAGAGGTAATACAATTTCAAAGTGCCATTGGTAACACCCTAACTGCTGAGTAGGCAAGGCTGAAATGTGGTCAGTGATAAGAGAAGGGAGGAAGTCAAGCACTGATGGAATCAATTTTAAATACTTAGAGGTAACCAAGACAGGAAGACCAAATGTCACTGGCTGTCAGCTAGCTCTTACTACAAGAGCCAAGGTGGTCAACCTTACTTTTATTCTTTATAGACGAATTTTCATGTAACAGAGGAAATAAAACAAAACATGGCTGAGATAAGAATTCTGCTTCTATAAGTGCCTCAAGATCAGGCAATTCAAGCACAGGGATCACAGCAGTAAACAGTTTTAGCTGAAATTAAAATTTCAGTGGCTCTGGGCAGCCTGGTCTGGTGGTTGGTGACCCTGCCCATGGCAGGAGGGATGAAACCAGATGATCTTTGAAGTCCTTCTCAGGCTGTTCTATGATTCCACAAGGCAGTTTTAATTAAAAAATGAGCTGTAAGTGCTCTGCTCCCCATTCTGAATATAGGCATTGCTTTACTTTTTCTTTCTCCAGTTGAAACCATGAAATGACATCCTTACCTCTAATCCATGTGGTGATATCTTCAGGTATTCACTGACATCATTGCTGTTTAGCATAGCCCTGATGTTGGTCAAGTCAACCTTCTCATATGTAAACTGCCTGCCTTCTTTTAAAACTGCAAAATAAAATTAGTTCAAGTGACTGCTACAGCAAAGCTTCGTTTTGAACAATTCATGTAGCAAAAATAATCATCATCATCATTCTTGTTAGGATCCAGTTCACTTCTGGCATAAATGAATGAAAGATTGGCATTCTGCCTGCAGGGAAACAGCACCTCTTGCAATAAATGTTCTCTAAACAGCAGAACCTAATAGATAACTCTGTCTAGAGCTCCTTCAGCCTAAGTATTACTTTCAAGAAATCCACAGGCAAACAAAAGGCATGCAGGTTTATGCCACGATGCCAACTGTTTCAGGGTTTACCATTGTATGTGTATATTCAGTAGGACAGGGCTTTCTCAATTCATCACATGTGGCAAAGTACTGTGGGGACAGAAAACATACAAAGAGTTTTCTACTCTCTCAGTTTCAAGTGGGTGAAGAACTTGAGCTGAGCCAAAGCAGCTCTTCCCCTTTTCACGTGGGAGGATCTGAAGCATTTATCTTACCAGGCAGCAAATTGCTGACATGTAGACGTTAACTTACAAATCAAGATCTTATCTTAGGGCTGCTTCTTATTTCCCTGATTTGCTACAACACTTGGACAGACGTTTACTAAACAACCACCATTGGCCTACCATACACTGACTGGAGCCCCTTAAGCCCAAGCAGCCTGTTTTCCCAAATTTAACCAAAGGACATTAGAAACTACCAAGTCCTCAAACCTCTTTCCTCGGAGGATTGCCACTAAACGAATCCATCCCTTTGCTATACCTACACAGATTGTCTAAACTCCACTGGGCACAGAATCCAACCTGGCGTTTCAAATAGTCTGGGTGATCTGTCCATTTCTCTAGCAGGATCAGTTGGTCACTAATGCGGGATTCAGAAACTGTCATTTTATTTTCACCTGCAATTTGAGAGCAAAAAAAAAAAAAAAAAAAAAAAGAAACTCCTATAAACCAACAATACGTTTAGATAAAGAAGTAGCACTGCACAAACACAGTAGGAACAGAAAACAACAGCAAAAAAACAACCCAACATACCAACTTTACATCCCAGCATTAAGTTCCACTCCCAAACTAACCTTGCAATCAGATACAGCACCTGCCTGCATGGAGTCAGACCAGAGACAATCAAACAGTGGCTGTTCTCCATCTTAATACAGATTTTTCCCCCCCCCCCAGTAACAAAGGTTTCCTATTGTAACTCTTTATGATGCAATTGCTTGTTGAGAAGCACTGAGTTCCAGCAAAACTCTCAGGGCTTTGTGGGTGGGGGTGTCATTCAAGCAATAAATGCTTTTCCTGCCTGCATGCACCCAACCATCACTGCTCTGAATCTCTTTGATACAGGTTTATTTCAGTGACAACAGCCTCGTGTCATAAGACTTTATAAGACTCTTTTCCAACTGATGAGCTCCGCACTGAGCTTCTGCAAATAGCTCACGGGTCCTGAGGGGTTGCACTAACACAGTCAATATTCCCTCCTGCTTCTAAGTGCACCAATATTTCTCTGCCACATTTCATATCATTTCAGTCCTTACTTACAAGAAATGTGATCTGATGAAGCAAATGACAACCACACGCCGCAGAAGCTGTAATGTTACTGTTCAGAGCAGCACTGGGCTGATACTTACTCGTTTGTGCAAACTTCTCCAGTGCAATTAGTGCAAAAAGCATCACCGTCGGATGGGACTGGAAATTCTAAACATGAGCAGTAAGAACAGTCAGTAAGTATGTGATACAGGTGGGTAGGAACAGCTCTGCCACTGAATGCCTTAGGCTGGAAGTCACCTAACCCCTCCTTCTGCCAACAGTTGGCTCGAGCACATCAGGATGCTTTGGCCTGTGAACTTCTGAGAATCTCTAAGTGTGGACCTCAATTTATTCTATCAGTTAGGAACACCAACAAACCACACTCAAACAGGATGCATGAATTTTCTCCCTGCCCTCCAAGAGATCATAGCAAATAGCTTGAAGTCAACCAAGCAGGCCACTCAGACCAATTCTTCACAATGGCCTCTCTTCATCTCACAACAGTCCCACAACTGTGCCACTGAGCTCACAAGAGGAATCAGAACTGACTTTTAGCATTGATTTGAGAGCACTGAATAGAAACTTGACCTTTCTAGAGTAAAGCACAGAACTGCTTCTCCAAAAGCAAACAAACAAAAAACCCCCTCTCAGCTTTCTGACCAGCTTCCATGAAGCCTCCTTCTTTTAACTTTCTGTAAAAACAAAGAACACAAAGAGGAAGACGAGGGTCTTAAGAGCAAAGAAAGTAATCCAAAATAATTATTGCAGAGGAAGAAAAAAAAGTTTGCACTTGACAACAAAAAACAGAGGAATAGTGATGAGAAGCCTTCTGTATCACATGCAGCAAGGTTTGGTTACTTCAAATATCTTCTTAAAACCAGGAGATGGGAACAGCAGAGTCTTGTATATTTTAGGGGATATTTTCACTGGGACTTTCTGAACATTATCAGTATTTACCAATCAACCCAGACTTGTCACACAAAGCTGTTCTCATCACAACAAACGGATACATTCTAAAGGATTGAAGGCACTTACCAAGCTGTGAAGTAAATATTCCAATATGCCTGGGCTGAGTAAGCCTATACTTGCAGGACCTGTAAAAATACTGGAAGTTAGATCCATCCATGGGAACTATCATACATCCACCACTGCTTAGAAGTGTAATACAGAGCAGAAGAGTCTGGCTGCCCTTTAATTGCAGAGGGAAAGTATGAATCATAGAATGCCTTGCATGGGAAGGGACCCCAAGGATCACCAAGTTCCAACCCCCTGGCCACAGGCAGGGCCACAAACCTCCATAGAGGCTGAAGACTCACTAGCTCCATTTACCAGCAGCTCTAAATAAGCCAAACCAGGGGTCTAATACAGCCTGTTTGATTGTGAGCTATACAGTTTGCAGCAGCATCATGACAAGTAGTCAATTAAAGAAACTACCCTAAAATACTGCCTGTTCATCCAGGAGAGATGCAAGGGAACCGAGCTCCAGCAACTCAAGCTCTGAACAGCCGTGGTGGATTCCACCACAGCATGAACAGATTTGCTGTCTGAGCTGCTGCAATTAGCAGGCACTGGGTCTCATTTCGACTTACTGTAACGAGAAGGTAGAAATATTACAGTGCAATATGTTTCCTGCTCTTTTTCTCTCCTTCAACAGACACAGTGAAATTATATTTTTAATAACAGCCAGGTGACACCAGACAATCACTTTTTCTCCATTTCCCTTTCCTCAGAATGGGAGCTCAACACTAAATACAAAGCCCAACAGCAGGAATTAAAACTTAACCATCAGTTTCCAACAGGGCACTTAGGGAGCTTAAGAAGTTTGGTATGAAAAGTCACCTTAAAATGGAAGTCCAACAGTGATCTTTTAAGTAGCACAGCAGAGAAAATCTTTCCAGCTAGGTACAACAGAACAGCATGTGTTTAGCAGAAACAGCATCTCTCTTCTGTCCTTCTACCCAGCCTCTAAGTTAATACTCCTGCCTATTGACTACGGAACCACATGCTCACATAACTCTGAAATAAGACTAATTACCAATGCTAAGACCACATACTGTAAGCATGAACACAGATTCACAAACGTGTGTCAGACTGCTAACCAACCCACCAAGGAATTTAAGTATCTGGGATTTAAAGTGACTCATTCAGATCCAAACTGGTGACCGAATCTGTTCAATGTTTTAATCAAAGAGTGGAACAGGTCACACCTGGGAGACAAAGCATCCACTCCAAGCAGAACATTGTTCAGTTCTAAGAAAACTCAAGTTGTTTGGATTGGGGGTGAGCTTCCAGAACAATCCCTTGGCTTTACCTGCTAATTTCTCAGCTAAACAGCCCAGCACCGCAGTTGTATTCCGATGTTTAGCAGGGTGGCAAGCATCATGACAAGCAGCAGCTCCACTTAAGTTTAATATTTCAGTCAGCTTTTGTAATGCATCCTGCAAAAGAAAATCAGAAGTCTCTTCGCATGAGATGCACAGTTTTCCCCCAGCTCAATATGTTACTTGGTGGAGTCACTGTCCCTGGAGGCGTTCAACCAAAGGCACAGATGTGGCACTGAGGAATATGGCTTAGCAGGCACTACTGGTGGTAGGCAGATGGTTGGGTTAGGTGGTCTTAGAGGTCTTTTCCAATCTTGGTGATACAATGTAGAAGTAATATGTCACAATCACAGAATCTACCAAAACCAGACAGCACAGGATGGTTCTGTTTTATTAAAAAAATAACAAAGAACAGATGGGAAGAGAAGCTCAACGTATCCAAGGTCTGCAATTTCACAATTACCACCCGTCTGTTAGTCTTTGTTACCATCTACATCTTCTAGGCTCAGACAAGTGAGCCACCTGCAGCAAGAGGAATTCAACGCTAGGAAAAGGCAAGGCAACACCAGTGATATCTATGGCTGTATCAGTTTAGGGTGCTGCCAGCTTTGCAAGATGTCCTAAAGGGCTTCCTTCACATGATGCGATTTTCTGTAGTCACACTGATTTAAGAAATAGCAAGAAAGGAAATAAATAGAAAATGCTGTGCTCTGACTTGCTCCATTCAAGCAGTACAGCATGGACAAAATGCAAGATAGGTTCAGATGGTAACCCTCATTTTCAGGGTAGTCAGGGGTTAATCTAGAGCCAAGTGATCCAACAAAGATCTCTGCCCTCCAGGATTTCTAAGTTCCCCTAACTTTCCAGACTTCATGAAAATTTCAGCTGATTCAAATATAAACTACATCATCTCAGGCTGGGATCTAATTAAAATAGAACTTCTCATACTGAAGTCATCAGCAGGCCTTTTGAAGAAAAAATAGCACTGCTGAAGTTGGATGCTTATTTGCTGTTCAAACAGCAGTCTGAGCCATGCTTAAATCAATTTGCTGCACTAGAGTCTGAAATTTGTATAGAGATAAGACTGAAAAGCAGCTATTCTCCTAAAGCAAATACCACAAAAGCAGTGCTGATGAACAGGACTGACATGAAGTGGAAAGAATGGTGAGGGCAGAAAGGATGACTGAGCCAGAGACTCAAGATGGAAAAACCTAAAATTAGCCTCTTGCCATACCCTGCACTGCCTTTAGATATTATTAAAACCTTCAGAGACATCAACTACGTTGAGTTAAATGAAGACTTTATAGGCTGAACGGCTTACTGTGCTGCCATTTCAACTTTATGGGCTTCACAGCCCACCGTAACAAAAACCAGCCTCCTGTTCTCCAGCTGCAGCAGGAGCTGGGCACTGACTTAAATCCCTGAAGACCAAATACTTAAACTTATTCTGAATATGGAAAAAAAATAAGAAAGAACAGCAGAGACTTTAATGGGCTGCACATGACCTGTAGATCCCACAGCTGCAACTCCCTGCACTTTGCTGTGCTGTAAAGAACTGCAATAGGGAAAAAGCCTCTGAGCAACCCCAGGAGGAAGTACCTCACTGCCTCTTACAGTCAACTGTTCAGCAGGCAATTGCACTGTGACTTTTGAAATACAGGTCACCTGATGACTCAGGAAGTTGTACAGCTGGAAAAAAAAAACCACAACAGAAATTCTTCACGTGGAGCAGAGGTCTGCATTTCCCTCATTGAAGTGTTTGCACCAGCACAGCGTGAATGCTGCAGATTGTATTGCCATCCAGGGCCAGTTTAATGGTCAGTAAAGAGAGTGCTCACATTTGCCAAAACTGTATATAGGTATTAAACAGTTAAAGTGTTGTTTCTTCAACTCAGGATGCTCAGTTGCACTGCATTCCTTACGTGCAGGGAAGAAACAAACTAAGTAGTGAGTGGTGCATATGCAGCTTTCAGATATTAGAGGAAAAAAAACAAAACACCCGCAGATGTTCACTGCAGAGCATGCATACTGCATGGCAAAGAATGGCCTGGGTTGAAAAGGATCACAATGATCATCTGCTTCCAACCCCCTGCTGTGTGCAGGTCACCAACCAGCAGCCCAGGCTGCCCAGAGCCACATCCAGCCTGGCCTCGAATGCCTGCAGGGAGAAGAGAGCAATGGAAGCAGCTAAGGCCCAAAGTCTCCTTGTTCTTCCCCAGAAAGCTGTGTTTTTTCATCTTCTACTACACTGCTTCTAGTGTTAAATAGTGATGAGATGCCAGGTCACCAAAAATGACTCCAAGTTACAAGTTACACCCATTTCTGAGCAGTTAACTGTCCTGCATAACCAATGAAACCCACCCAGCAACTATCATGGCAACCAGGGCCAACTGAAATTCAGCTGCAGATAAACACAGTGTTTCAACTTACTTTTGTTGGCAGTGGGCATTCGTCGAGTAGCAGCGTTATGACGGCCGGTCCCAGCGGATCCTCTAGTGGAATAACTCTAATTAAAGACTGGACAACTTCCAGCCAACCTTCATCTGTCAACCACAAAAGAGAAGTCATGTTTAGAATTAGCACGGTGATCCAAGAGTTCAAAATACATCAGCAATCCATTGCTGTTTGTAGGTTTTGAATGAATGTAGGTTTTCAATCATTTAATTGACTCGGTGAGCTCACAGGCACGAGGGAAAATAATCCATATGTTTTAAATTTTATATCTATGCCTTAAGTTTGTAGCTTGGAAGTCTAATTTCAAGGAATAATAGCAAACATTGGTATTGTTTGGAGAACAGCCCTGCCCAGGCCAGAGCATATTCCAGGAAGGAACCCTCCTAAGCACTTGGTTCCAGCATCCTAACTCAAGAGCTCAGTGTTGTCTTATAGTTGAACACACTGCACTCATAACCATGCTGAAAAAAATATGCCTGGCCAGAAAGAAAGCATCCTATCTGCTCTGCAAATAACATGGACCTCAGAACAAGTGTATTAGCTTCTCCCATGCCTGGCCTTCTAAACAAACTGATTACACAAGGAAAGAGAACAGGTAGGAGGCCTTGTCTGCTCATTAATGTGAATCAATTAGATGTTAACCAACTACTAAAAGGGTGAGCAATTTGGATTTACAAGAAAAGTTGCCTGAGAAGTAAAAATAAAGATAATTGCAACTGCACACAAGTGAGGTTGGAAGCTTTGTGCTCCCATCCACAATGGCAAGTAAACCTAAATAACACTTCTGATCTTAGAATTTGTTATTTGTACATTACTCCAAAACACATTGTACTGAATTGCTGTCATATCAGATCAAGTTGATTAGCTCATCCCAACACAGAAACACATCTGGGACCAATACCAACTCTGTTAAGAGACTTCATTCAACTCTAGCAGAAATTTGTACAGGTCTCCAGTTGGATGAGTTCTTCCTCCCATCACAGAGATAAGTAACCCTCGTACTGACACAGCTTGGCATGCGGGCCAACTTCAGCACAGTGCTGGAACAACTACATCAATAACCTGGAGGTCTAAGGACAGCAAAAACCTAAACAGAGGCAAGTATTTGGCAGCGGGGAAGTACAGACTTTGAAGCATGTTTACATACATGGGCTGATTCTGCCCTCGTGCAAACAGGCATTCTATGTGGCTTATGGTTTAATGTGTTTGCACTGAGCTGCTCACATAGAAGCGTAACAGAGCTCGAAAAACTCAGAGCAACACCCAGCAGCTCAGTGGATCTTCTGAAGGGCAGAACTGTGTTTTGGAGTCCGAGTCCCTAGAGCTACAGCAAAGCAATAGAACTCATAGTAGCAGTGCAATTATTTTGCAACTAAAAATAATGTTTGGTTTTTCCCCTGTGGAGTCACAACTGAAATGCCCAACACGGCGCCTCGGTACCTGTTTCTGCCATTTCATGCAACGTGATCATTGAATAAGGAGGCTCCTGGTCGCTGAAAGAGATATTGCACAGGTCAACATTTATGCACAGCCTTCAATGCAACACACTGAATAAAATGGTAAAGACACAGTAAAATGAATCCACTAAGCATTTAATGGAGAGAAAGTCACATTGGCTGCAATGCACTAATGCCATTTTCAGATCTGAGATACAGCTGGGATATAGGCTGTATTCTGGCTTAAAAAAACACCTGCATATCTTCATTAGCTGGTCTGTGAAATGTTACCCATATCTGCAGGTATATATACACTGCTTAGGCCTATTGCTATCCATTAGCAAAGTCACTCAGAGTTAAGTAGCAGAGGTCACAAAGGGCAGCAAGGGCAGTGCACAAGGGATGCACCATCAACACACTTTGCTCAGAAACTGCTCCTCCCCCCCTTCCCTCAATTGAAAGGCAAGCTATCTAGAAGCACCATACCCTACTAATTCATTAACAAGAGCAGCAGGAAAACATTAAGGCAGTTCAACAGGAAATATTTACCCCAATTCCCTTTCCACCGTGGAAAAAATTAATAATGATGCAGGTTGGACACGTTGCTCGGTTCGGTTTGATGGAGCAAGGGCAAGGACCTGTGGCCAGCTACATCCGTGCCACTGGAAGCACCCAAAGCAAAGTCTCCAAGTCCTGTTGAGCAAGCACCTCCAGGACCACAAAAGCTTACGTGGTGGCACATCATCCTCAATGCTGCACTCAGCACTATTTCAGCATTATGAACCAACCCCAGACTCAGAACAATACATTCTACCATCAATTCTACCATCAATCTCTGCCTCAGCCTTCAAAATAAGACTGGAAATGCATCACACAGAAGAATTTTAGAAGATCTCAACGTGGGTTCATCATGCAGATAATTAAACAAGTTACTCCAGAAAGACTAATTATGTCCCCCCAGCATCTGCTATTTGGAAACAAAACTATTTGTGAAGCAGCACTCTGTATAAATGGCAAAAATCAGAGGCTTAGAAATGGAACTCTACTCCTTCTAGGAAAGAGAGAGATCTGGACAAGAAAAATCAGATCCCAAACAGTGAGCAGGGAAAGCAAGTGTTCATCACAGATCACACTACAGCAACTCAATGTGCAGTTCATCTCATGGCATCCTCAAGCATGAGATTTCATTACAGAGTTTAGAAGAGGAATGCCAGGAAGGCTTTGGCCTCCCACTGCCCAGACTCCAATCTTCAGCTCTTCATTGCTGTGCTATCACACCGAAGCCTACAATTTCCAACTGAGTGTTACACACGTCTCCATTTAAACTGACTTGACTTGCACGTGGTTTTTGACATGAAAATATGGTTTCCCTACCATTTCCTTCTGTTTCAGTTGTGGTGCTTCCGAGAAGATACAGCTCTATGAAGAAACAGGTGATAAAGAACATACTTAACCCTACAGACTCACTCACACTGGAAAACAAAACTTCCAGACATGGATTTTCTTCTTCCCCCTCTCCACTGTTCATTCCTATTTACCTAAGAAGGGTCGTCATTAGCTTAAGGTCTCACAGAAGGTTCCTTAAGCTTCTTTCAGGCACATTTGGATAATCTGCCTCATGAAGATGCTCCCCCACTACTCACAGCCATAGGTCTTTGTCCTACAGAATGGAGTCTTGTCGTATTTGGCTGTGTTATACAACCAGATGTGTCTCTTCACCTGCTGTAATATTGAAGCAACAGACCACAGCAACCCCGTGGTGCTTGCAAGACAGAATCTGGAGTACTGTATGCACTTTTGGGATCCCCCATGTAAAAAATGGGGAGCCCACGGGAAAAGCGACCCAAAGCCATTTCCTGGACTTGGTCGATGCTTGCCAAGGCCCTGAGCCACCTGCTTGACTGGGGCTACGCTGGAGGTTGGAGTGGATGGACTTCCAGAGGTCCCTTCCCATCTACTGAGGGTTTAGTGGGCATGTTGGTAACGGGTTGACACTTGGACTGGGTGATCTCAGAGGTCTTTTCCAACCTTAATGATTCCACAGTTTCGTGAGTCGAGGGAAGCGTTTCGCTGAGCCAGTATAACAAAATACCACAACTTCAGGAATTTGTGTGAAATAGGACTCCAGGATCAGTGACTGTGGTTGCTATAATTCAGCAGCAAAGGAAAGTACTTATAGGATTACAAGACTGACTGCAAGAGCAACAGGACCAACTACATACAGAAGCGTTGTGAAACAGCCTGAAGACATGACCTCAGGGGAAGGCATCAGAGGTCAGGGAGAGGCTTTCAAGAATTTTGCACAATTTTCACTTAATATTTTGAAGACAGAGCCTAAAGTAAGAGGTAAAACACTGAAAGCAGCAACAGCCACCAGCACGCCAATCCCCTCCCAGCCCCAACTACACACAGCTGGTACCACACCTCTTCAGCTTAAATTCTGCTATTTCCACTTAAGCATTTTACAACAGGAGCAAGGAGCAGGGATACAGGTGGAATCAAGCAAGGCTCATGTAACCTGAGCCTCATCCATCCCACTTGTGAAGCTACAATAGCATTTTTCCTTCTGTTCTGGTCTGATTCCTAACCTGCACCTAACCCAGAAGAGATGAGCCAATTTCACCCTCCAGTTTTGAGGTCCTTTTATAGAGCTCCATAAAAAGCAATGCAAACAAAAACAAAACAAAACCACCCAAATAAGTGTCTGTCCATAAATATCCCACACGCCCTCAGTGGATGCTTTGAGCATACAAGGAATGCAACACTGCAATCATAAGCTGAAGAGACACAACATGCAGACTTGAAAAGCACTCAGAAAGAAAACCTCAGTCTCTTTATGCAAACTGACAACGGTCAAAGCTCTCAATTTTGCTGAGCCACTTCCAAAGAAGTAGATGCAGCCTGAAAACAGAAACCTTGCTTAGTAGTCAATGTTCAGGACAGAAGTTGCCAAACTCTGTAAGGTTTGCCGCTGCCTAAGCTGTGTATCTACACCAGATAAGCAATACTGAGCACACTCCTCATCCCATCTGGGTGCAGGCCCACACAGGAAGGTGAGAAAGCTCCTCAGCTCCTGCAAGAGTCTGTATCTGGGCGCTCAGGAGCTATGGCTATTACCTAGGAAAGGTGCTCCTCTCCTAAGCCTCCAGATGGAAACACGCTGCTGCTTCAGGGAGGGCCAGGTGTAGATCGGTGAGAGGATGGAGTCACAGTTTGAGAGAAGACAAGAACATTGTATTTTCACTCATGTTGAATTATTCCTTGAGGTGGTACTTACTTATCTACTAACGTCCGAATTACAGCCAGTGTGTCAAGCACTAGCCCATCCACATTCTGTTTTTTCCTTCTTGGCTCATGAGGCCCTCTCCCCCTCCTAGGTGGTCGGACAGGGTCCCTTGGGTGGCTCCTTCCATCAGGTGCACGTACCCTACTGCTCTCTGTTCGTCGATGCTGAGACTCCAAGCTGTCTTCTGCTCCGCTGTCATCGCGGCAAACGCAGGAGTTGCCCATGGTGCCAGCCCCCAAGGCTCCCAGCAAACGGGGAACGTGGTGCTCTAGAGTCAACAGTAAACCTTGGAAAAGGCTTCTGCTAGCATGGAACACAAGGAAAGCAACTACAATCATCTAGGAAGTTTTAAGAGCAATGGTTGCGTGATCCGGAATTGCGGTTGTTTGCATTATACGCGTTGCTGCCAGCAGGAATGAATGGAAGTTGGAGGCTTAATTTCCGACAGAATCGGTTAAAATGGACATTGGTCATCCAGGTGGAGGGCTGAAAAAGCAAATCCAAAACAAGAGTCAGTCTTAACTTCGAACAGCAGAAGAATTCTTGCATTAGTAAACAGCACTACCCATGGCATATCAAATAAACTAAGAAACAGACAGTTTGCATCTGCAATCCACAGGTGTAGGGGAAAAGGATGAACGAGGACGAGCAAGAAGTTCTCTGCCTGGGTAGCTTCTCCCCACACTTCATTTTTACATTGCCTGCTGTTTTCCTGCACGTTTTCTGGCTGCGGAGGAACAATTTTGTCCTGAAGTCCAGTACACTGCCACCTTTTAAGTATTAATAAACCACAGTTTCATGTTCTCTTTACTGCCCATACAGACACACTGCTTGGGCAATCAAACTGAAGGCTGCACTATTCACACCAGGAATACTCCAACTAATTTTGAGACAGATTCTACAAGTTAGCCTAGTTTCCCAAGAACCAGTCCTACAGTTGTGGCCTATTGCAGCAACAAGTGGATCGAACCAAGCGTTCAGTCCATCTGTGTGCAAATGCATCTTCTCAGAACACGTCTGCTTCAACTGGATTCTAACCCAAAGAAGCAGAAAGAAACATTTTCACAAACCCCATTTTAAGGTGAGAAAATCAAATAGATTTTGAAAGGGGTGTTTTCTGTGGATGATGCCCCATCCCTGGAAGCTGGATGTGGCTCTGGGCAGGCTGGGCTGGTGCCTGGCTACCCTGAACACAGCAGGGGGGTTGAAACGAGATGATCATTGTGGTCCTTTTCAACCCAGGCCATTCTATGATTCTTTGCTTCTAGCATCAACCAGCCCTTCCCTTTTGAAGAAGGGAGACCAATTCAGTCCCTCTTTTGTTCTTTATTCGAAGGGTCTGGATCAACTACAGGCCCAGTAGTAACTGGGGTTGTAGGACATACACTACACATCCCTGTATCAGGAATGTTAGCAAGAGCAATAGGATTCAAAACCCTGCCTGATTAGGAGTTATGTTTGCAAGCCATGAGGTGTGTGTCTGCACAGCCTTATATAAAGCCTCAGGTAAAATAAAGCCCTGCTAAAGACATTGCTTTGCTACTTACACACTTCAAGCATGCCAGGATAAATGAACGACTCAAAAGCATAGCGTGCAGTTGGTCTTCAAAGAATTTAAGTGAGAATGATGAGTACCAGCTTATTACTGTTTTACAATTATTAAATAATCCTACATTAGAGGAAATTAGAAGGAAATGGAAGGCAGTTACCACCTTTTAAATACAAAAGGTTCCCTGACATCTCAGCCAACTGGCAGTCGTGCAATGGCTGACTGTTATTTGGGACAGAAATCACAGCAATGTGATTTGGGAAGCCAGCCACCAGTCATAGGAGCAAGCATGGCATCAAGGTGATGCTATGCTTGATGATGTCACACCAAGGTTGGCAACTCTGCACACAGCAGGGGGTTGGAATGGGATGGTCATTGTGGTCCTTTCCAATCCAGGCCATTCTATGATCCCATGATTTGAATGGACAGCCATCAGTAAGAAATCACTACAGACAAGCTCTCTTCTTTGTCCTAAGTATGTTATCTTCCTTCAGTAGTGCTTGGTATTAAGGTAACTGAAGGTGGGTTAGGAAAACAAAGCCCATGGTGGCACACTAAAGGCAACAAATACAAGAGCTTGAGCTTTGTTTCAAGAAACTCATAACCAGTAGATCATGACAATGGTTGCAGTAGCACAGCATGTTTGCCCTGCTCTCCAAGCTGTTTGAGCACAGCAAGACACGGGACTGCAGCCTCAGTAGTTCCCCATCTGAGCCAGCTGCTCAGTCAGCAAGGAGACAGCAGATGCAAGGGTGCCAAGAGATCATAGAATCACCAAGGTTGGAAAAGACCTAAAAGCTCATCCAGTCCAACCGTTCACCTATTCCCAACAGCTCCCACTGAACCACGTCCCTCAACACAGCATCCAGCCTTTCCTTGAACACCCCCAGGGTCGGTGACTCCACCACCTCCCTGGGCATCCATTGCAGTGCCTGACCACCCTTTCTGAACAGTAATACTTCCTCATGTCCAGCCTGAATCTCCCCTGCTGTAGCTTGAAGCCATTCCCCCTGGTCCTATCACTGATGACACGAGAGAAGAGGCCGACCCCCAGCTCACTACAGCCTCCCTTCAGGAAGTTACAGAGAGCAGTGACATCTCCCCTGAGCCTCCTCTTCTCCAGGCTGAACATTCCCAGCTCCTTCAGCCTCTCCTCATCAGCCCTGTGTTCCAGACCCCTCACCAGCTTTGTTGCCCTCCTTTGAACACGTTCCAGGGCCTCAATATCTTTCTTGCAGATGCAAGAAAACATCCCTGCAGATGCAGGGACCTTCAGTGAAACTGTGCAAGACCACAGTCAGATTGCTTCAAATGACTTAAAAAGAACACCATGAAGACCTGATTTAAGCAAAAAAACTCAAATAACATTTAAAGAGAGAACCAGTTACATCAAATGCAAAGCGTGTGTGATCCTAGGGGAAAAATAAGCATGTATCCAGATCATTTTAGGGCATTCTAATAGCACAGCACTGAGATACTGAAAACAAGCAATTATGATCAACTCACCCTTAGGTGTGTTTGGTTGAGGAAGAGCTGGGCTTGCTCACAGAACTCTGCAGCGGAAGTGGACTGTATTTCTGCAGGTTGCAGATGCATTTGTACTGGGAGAAGCAGCACTATGTCTTTATCAGCACATGATAAAGTGGGCAGTGAATCAGCACAGCCAATCACTTTTAGAAGATATGCCAAAGAGTCTCTGAAAACAGAGAGGAAAAAAAGAACAATTCATTTGGGAACTGCCCCCAGAGCGAAGCATCTCCCCTCCCCTCTGCAATGCCACCAAGTCACCCTCAAATTACTGCTTGCAAAAGGAACAGCAGCAAACACTTCTTAGGGATTGGACTCCGTGATTCTTGTGCATCCCTTCCACTTCAGGGTATTCTGTGCAGTGACAGGATAAACTCCCCTTATTTAGTAAATAGCTGAGTCTGACAGCATCTGCTTGCACACCAGGCTAAGTAACACACAAAGAACTTGCTTCCAAGCTTCAAAAAATTGAAAGATTAAATACTTTGGCACAGAAGCTGGTGGAAGAGGTTGCTACAGATCTGCCTGGCAAACCAGCCTCATTTGAACAAGGTCCAAACGCAGGAAGAGAGGTTCTGAAGTGCAACTAAAAACAAACAAACCAACAAAACCACCTCTTTTGAAACAGTGATGCGTTTGAGCTGGCAAGATTAAGGAAAGGTTTACAACATGATAACGAATGTGAGCTCAGCATCTGACTGCTGGCAGCCACCTCACCAGTGAAACAGAGGCCAAAACCCTGCACAACTGGAACAGACGTGCACAGAGGAGATACAGGTGTCACCAGCACAAGGAAACAGAAGGGATGCCAGGGCAGGAGAAATCTAGAATGCATCAGGATGCATCTTCGAGAAGGATGAAACATATTGGGTTGTGGTTTTTTTTCCCCACTAAGAGGTAAAATCCTCTGCATATAAGCACAGAAACTTGGTGAGACTGGAAATTTAACTTCAAGCCTTAGGAAATATCTGCTGTCAGCACAAACTGGACGCACAGCCAGTGTTTTCTTGCAGAAATACTTAGTGGTCTACTTGAAAATATTATGAGAATGAAAGATAACTGTTTTTCTTTTGAAAGGGTTTGCCTACAAGAAGGGAGTTTGCAGGGATCATCACACCAGCAGTACTGAGGCAGGATAAGCAGACCCTCTTATCTGGTAGTGGACACTCAAAGAGGGGTACAAGCACACAACAGCAGATAAATGGGCTCTGTTGTAGCATACCTGCCCCTGTGTCAGCAGCAAAACCTCCTGAGGCAGCTAAACAAACTGGCTCTAAGAGAATTAATCTCCCCCAAGCCATCTATACCCCTTTTTTTCAGTAGTTATGGTGCTAAGAGTCTGTGCAGCTGCTGCTGAAGCCAAGCCATGTCCCATCCTGACGCCGTGACCAGCTGTTAGCCAAGCAGCCCAGCCCTCTCACAACACAACAAGTCCCAAATCATACCATACCAGGAATATTCCTTGTTGTTTCTTGGAACGAAACAACAAAACACAAACATCAGCCATTGAACTGTATGTTACTTGAGTGATTTCCACGTGCCCAGAGGTGCAGATGGGCAGCCAACACGAGGAGGTCATCTGATGGAGCTCACCAATGGAGAAACGGCCAATGGAGGTGGCCTTGGTCTTGTTTGCTAAGAATTGGTGATTCATCCTCTGAAATATTTTGATGCAGCCAACCATAACACTGCCTCACGATGGAAAAAAGCCTCTCCTGCCCATGAAATGGAGCATGCTGCCAAGAAAACAAGAACCTTCTCATACACATAAATGACTAAAGAGGGTTTCAGCTGCTACAAGAGCTTCTCCAGCTCCTGCCACGAGAGTGAAAGCAGCACGTTCTCCTCTTAGAGGAGCATGATGTAGCAGTTTGGTCAGGAAATGATGCAACTTTCCAAGCTCAAAACAAAGTTCTAGGCAGCAATTTCCTATTAAGGAGGAAAATGATTAGAAATACTTCCGCAGCATCTTTCCTGCCCCCCCAGAAATGATGGTCCTAAAAATGAAGGCACTTGTGAGGCCAGCCAAAGGCAAAGTTCAAGTTACAAGTTCATCAGCTTAGACCTAGGATGTACGCCTTGTGTGTGCAAACAGAGGCTGCTGCAACACAGAGAAGACCTCAGATTTAGGATGAGCAGGGAAGGTGAAGAAGTAACAAGAACTCCCAGCAAACTGAGCATCCCTGGAGGTATTTAAGAAAAGAGCAGATGTGGCAGTGAGGGATGCAGCTAAAGAGCTCCCAGTCATGGGCTGCTGGTTGGGCTTGATGATCCTAGCAGTCTTTCCAACCTCCATGATGCTATGATTGCAGATCCACCGAGGTCAGAGGTAAACCCTGCAGCTGAGCAGTTTGTGCAACTGAAGAGCAGGAGCTGCTTGGTGCCCACACAGCAACCAACCAAATGCAGAAGTACACTGCAGACCTCAGTCAACTCCCTGCCTATGCTTCCGCACGTGGTAACTGAACAGCATCTTGCAGGATCTGAAGCAAAACCCCCATGCAATTATTTTGTTTTCTTCTAAAAATATCCTGCAGGGTTCACACCATGGGAAACAGCATTTACTGGCACGCAGCGTGTCACTATTTGCAATCAAAGCCACTGCTGCAGTCATTTGGTCTCTTACTAGTCATAGCAAAAGCATCCTAAACCAAAAGCAGACTGACCTGGAGTCTTGCAGGAAAGCCTCACACTTTCTAGCTCTTACCCAAGCGCCTCTCAGCGTTGGGCTTTAAGCCTCCAATTCCAGTTCTGTTGGAAGCACAACGCTCCTGAAGGATCTGCTCTTCTGTTGTGGGAGCAACAAAGCAGGAAGAAGCAGCAAACCCTAACACCACAGCGGTTTCCTTTTCTGCTGGCCTCCTGTAAGCCACGTTTTATAGCCTGCTGTCTCCAAAGCAACCCTGTGGCAAGGAAGAAAACCCTGCCTCACCCTGCTGGGGTCAGGAAGAGCAGCTCCAGCACCAGGCTGCTCCTCTGCAGCACTCTGAAGTAATTACCTGCTGTGTCTCAGAGGTCATTTAGATGGAAATATCCTTTGTACGGTGGCCTTTAACGCTTTGAATGTCTAACCAGCCCCTTCAGCACCAGCATCCATAACAGGGAATGTGACTTCCAGGTTTTCTCCCCGGGGGTTTGAAACAGCAGGAAGATAAGCCCCTTAATAACAACAGTAGCAAGAATAATAAGGCCCTTAATAATAATGCCAAGCAGTGCTACAGGCTGAGAACACCCAAAAGCCCACCCTTATAAGCTATAATACACACACTGGATTAGCAATACCAGAATATGGAGTTAGGGCACGGGCATTCGTTCAGAGGTTCCAGTTGATTTCGGTTAATCTTCCTTTGAAGCTTCACAACTCAACTACAGGGCGTTTGCTAAACTTTTTGGGGGTGGTGGGGTGGAAAAGAAGTCCTTGATAAATAAAAGCCAGCAAGAAATTCCAGGACAGACAGACAGAGCTGGAGGACAGCATGGACATTCCAGGTACTGGCAGAGGGCACGGAGTTGTGGGGAAACAAAAATGCCAATGCATTTTGAAGTTCTTTTTCTAGTAAATTTAATGGTTCATGTCAGAAAGTTTCGTGCTGGAGGTGAGGTGCTGGAACAGCTGCCCAGAGAGGCTGTGGATGCTCCATCCATCCCTGGAGGTGTTCAGGGCCAGGTTGGATGGGGCCCTGGGAAGCCTGGTGTAGCATTAGAGATGGAGGTTGGTGGCTCTGCCTGTGACTAAGGCATTACGAATGCATAAACCACACTGCAGTTTGGGACGTGTGAAAGATTCTGATAACATCACTGAAAAATTCAGCAATACCTCCATTGGGAACTTCCACTTGTCGGCTGACAACTGCCTCCAGGAGCAGAACGCAGAGCAGGCGGTGTCTGCAGCCTCCTAATCTCAGCCTCACCAGATCCGTCTCCTGATGACACTGGTTATCATCACAAACAGCATTGTATCAGTGGCTGGGGGCAGCAGGACAAAGAAATTTCTGCTTCTTCATTCATGCAGCATCAGAGAACGGGGCCAATCTCTAAGCAGCCCTGTTGGGCAGCTTTTCCCCTCCTAACAAAACATATGGAGAGGTAGGATTTTAAAGCCTCTGCTCGTATGATGAAACCCAAAGGAAGCTGGCTAGTGGGTTTAAGAGCCAAGAAGAGCAAGGGGACAAACTGCCTGGCAAAGACAACCCTCAAAAGGCAGCAGCGGGTTGGGAAGAGAACCAGCTATGTGTTGCATGAGGCAGCCTGAAAGGGGTTTAAGCAGAAATGTGAGTCTCCTCTATTTCATGAAGGCTGCACATGGGGGGAAAAAAAAAGGCAGAAAGCTCAAGAGCAACTTAAGAAGCTTTCATAAACCTGTATGAGTAGCCACAGACATCTGCTGCTTCTCTTGAGTTAATTCTTGAGGAGTTTCAGGAGAGCTGAAGTTTATCCAAATGCAATTAGCAACAGCACTATTTCATCAAATGCATCGGGGGGAGATGCTCTAAGGAGAGCAAAAAAGGTCTGCAGGAAGATGGCACACACGCACACAAGTGGCACAGCCTTCTGATACACATCTAACCTATGATTCCAGCTATATTCCCACCAGTTTGTGGACACCACGGGCTGGTTGATGGTTGCACCGGGTGATCTTAGTGATCTTTTCCAACCTGAACGACTCCCAGTGATTCCATAAAGCGAGCAGTCCAAAAAGCCACACAAATACTTCACCTCAAACACCCCCAGCCTTGTTTCTCCTTCTGTCTAGCAGAACAGCAGTCACAAACCCAAAGCAGAAGAGCAGCGCTTTCTACACCAATGAAGGCTTATGAAGGAGAGAACCTGCAGCTGCAAATGTTCTGCATGCTTATAACTACAACTCCTTGAGGAAAGGTGTTTCAGGGGGACAGGTGCCTTGTTACTGATCCTGGTGGCACGCTGAATGCCCATTAACAAACATATCTTAGTAAGCACGGAGCAGCACCTCACCCCAGAACACGAGAAAGCGACCTGAATGGCCAAAATAACCCACTGAGTACACAGAGTTCCCATGGCAAAGCTGGGAAAACTTCTAAAGCACCATTTGGCCACACCAGTGGCTGATGATGGCAGCAGATAACCGCACCGGTCAGTCACACCATGAGTCATATGGGACTCAATTTGTACCAGACCTCAAGGACATAACGAGGAATAGAAGAGGAAATAAAGATCGTGCTGGCACGGCTGTGGCTGCAACACACCAACTTCAGTCAGTGCACACAGAGCAGGAAGGGAAAACGAAGCACATGGTCAGGACCCAGGGAAAAGCAAGGCAATGAGTGACACAACAGAATCCTCATGACATGCTGGGAAGACAGTGGAGCTCAGGGCGCCGTATCTGCCTTTGCTGGCCTGAAACAAGGAATGAATTCAAAGCTCACTGAGCAAGCACGCATTCAGGAGACAAAGCAAAACCCAAACAGTTTAAAATGCTGAATGCAACACACTGCCAATGGAACAGAATAAGACAAATGTCAACACAGTAACCTGCCTTCAATTTACAGCACGGTGATGGCATTTTAACTCGCTCCTCTGCGCAGAGAAAAGCTAGCAGCACACACAACGACCTGGCACAAAGCATCAGCAAACATCTACAAAACTTGACAAGATTTGGGGATGTTCTGTAACACAAGGCATTATCAGCCATAGGAGATAACGGTATGACAACAAACTTGAAGTGTGAAGGGTAGGTGCCCCAGGACAACTCACCACGCTCATCACTAATGGGTTGCTTAAATCACTGAGTTACATTACACTCATTCTAAAAGCAAAAGCAAACTTCCAGAGGAGCACAGAACATAATAATGCTGAGATAAAGAGCCAATGAATTAGGACAGCAGAGGGTAGGATGCCAGAGTGCTGAACGGCCCAGGTTGGTAGGAACCTCAAGGATCATGAGGCTCCAATCCCCCTGCCACACACAGGACCACCAACCTCCACACTTAATGCTACACCAGGCTGCCCAGGGCCCCATCCAACCAGGCCTTGAACACCTCCAGGGATGGATGGAGCATCCACAGCCTCTCTGGGCAGCTGTTCCAGCACCTCACCACTCTCACAGTACAGAACTTCCCCCTGACATCCAACCTCAATCTCCCCTCCTTCAACTTCAAACCATTTCCCCTTGTCCTGCTGTTATCTACCCTCATAAAGAGTTGACTCCCTCCTGTTTATAGGCTCCCTTTAGGTACTGAAAGGCTGCAAAAACAAACAAAGATCTTCACTCTGTGAGGCCAAAGGCAGCCAAAAAGAAAGCAAAACTCTTTGACAAAAAGCAGGGACTCAGTGCAACCCAAAGCACTCGCTGGTACTGTACCTGAAGAGATGGGCAGCGTGCGGGACAGCTGCACGAGAGAAACTAACAGCCTAAAAGAGCAGGTGAATAACAGACTGAGCCAGCAAACAATAAACAAGAGCACCCACAAGAGCTGCAAATCCTGCACTAAATACATCCTGCCCATCCGAGCAATGGAAAGCAGGCATTGAGAACTGCAGGATTAGCAGGAACATCAGTAGAGCAGATGATGAGACGCTGCCATTAACCCAGCTGTGTAACACACACACACAGCTGGAGGAACACAGCCTGCTCAGTGCAGCTCTGACAGCGAGGGAGTGGAGGTGAGCAAAAGGGAGAATCACAGAATGGCCCGAGCTGGAAGCGACCTCAAGGATCACGAAGCTCCAACCCCCTGCTGCATGGAGGCCACCAACCTCCACACAATGCTACACCAGGCTGCCCAGGGCCCCATCCAACCTGGCCTTGAAGCCTCCAGGGATGGACGGGGCATCACAGCCTCTCTGGGCAGCTGTTCCAGCACCTCACCACTCTCACAGCACACAACTTCCTTTCCTAACATCCAACCTCAATCTCCCCAACCTCAACTTCAAACCATTTCCCCTTGTCCTGCTGTTATCTGCCCTTTTAAACAGTTGACTCCCCTCCTGTCTATAGGCTCCCTTTAGGTACTGAAAGCTGCACTGAGGTCACCCCACAGCCTTCTTTTCTCCAGGCCGAACAAGCCCAGCTCCATTCCCCTGTCAATGGAACTGCAGCACAGCGCTTCGCACCGCTCCTCAGCCGCCCCCCGAGCTCCAGCCCCGCGCCTCAGCACGCAGCACCGCCCCGCCGGCAGCGTGGCACCGAGCACCGCGCCCTCCCGCCGGGCCCCGCGCAACCCAGCTCAGCTCCATCCCCGCCAACCCGCCCGCCCGGACCCCGCACGCACCGAACACGCCGCACGACCTCCACCGAGGCGCCGCCGCTCCTTTGTGCGCTAAGATGGAGGCCCCGCGCACCGCCCGGCCCCGCCCCGCCTCCTCGGGCCCCGCCCCCCGCCGTCTCCCTAGCGACTCGCCCCGCCCCCGCCCCTCCGCCTCGTCCAATCGCAGCGCGGCGCTCGTCCCTCCCTCCCTGACGTCACCTCTGCCGGCTCCGCGCTTCCTCCCGATGCAGAAGCGGTGATTGGCCGAGGGCCGGGCGGAAGCGCGGCCGCAGGAAGAGCTCACGCGGTTGGCTGGAGCGGGCGGAAGGGGCGGGGCGAGGCGACGAGCGGGCCGGCGGGAGGGGCTCGATGGCGGCGCTCGGTGCCGGGCCGCGCCTCTCTGTGTGAGCGGCCCGCCGCGCGGTACGTCCGGAGGGGGCGGCCGGGGCTTCGTCGAGCGAGGGCGGGCCGGGCCCGGCGGGCGAGCCGAGCCTCCGCGATCCCGTTAGCCGTGAACTCGGGGCTCCGTGGCGCGGGCCGGGAACGGGCCCGAGCCTCGCGGGACCGGCTGCTCCAGAGGCCGCTGCTCACAACAGCGAGGCGAGGTCTGCGCTCACATCTGGCCCAGCCCAGGTGAGGCCCTGGGCCGCGAGGTTCGGGGTTTTAGTCCCGGTTTTGTGACCGTGCAATAGCACGGAAGAGAGCGCGGTTTGCAGCTGGGGTCGTTACGGTGCTGCGTGTCCCCTGCTGGCCGGAGCGCCGTCAGCGGGCGAGGTGAACGCAGGACGGTGTAAAAACATCCGTTGTGTCTGGGTTGTGTGTGTGTTGGACGCCAGGGAAGGCAAAGACGAGATGAGCCAAATTCCAAGGTTTTAAGGTACCGTAGTGCTGGGCTGCGATGCAATCCCCCCGTGGCTTCGTGCCCCAGGATGTTTTTGATGCTGCTGTTTCAGAAACGTTCCATCAGCTTCCCTGGGTTGTATTGAAAAGATGACAGAATCCTTTAGGCTGGGATGACCACTGAGATCATCCAGTCCAACCATCTCTCATCTGCAACTGCTCTAGACCCACCCAGTGCCACATTCTCCTTTCTTGCACACCTCTTGGAGCAGTGAGTGACTCTGCCACCTCTCTGGGCAGCTGTTTCAATGCCTCACCTCTCTTTTGGAGAAGAAATAGCTGAGTATCCAGTCACAGTTACACCCTAATCTCTTCCAAGTGGTTTAAAGCATTGGCTGAACCAGCAGGCAGATGGTTGGCGACTTTAGTCTTAAGAAAGTGCTGTGCTCGTGCCTCATCAGCCTCTTCAGTTTGTTTTTCTGACGTTGTCATCGTTGTATCAGAATGTTTTGTTTCCTCTCTAAACAGATTGAGCTGGCACAAGTGGGGAAACAGCTCATCTCGGTAATGCAGCACTTGGTTAAGAAGAATGGCCTCGTTCTTCAGACCTGTGTCCAGGAGGGAGATACAATTTGTATTTTCCCTATAGGTTTTCAGCTCAGACCACCGTGGGAAATGACAATAAGAGCAGATATTCTGTGATTTCTGGGAGTTGAACTCATTTTAAAAACACATCATGCTTTTAACAAATACTCGTATGGTGGTGCTTTAACCTGCATTTCTTCTGAGGTCTCAATTAGTCATTTTGTCCTACAGACAATAGCCCACCAAAGCTACATCCTATGAGAACATCAGGGCTCTGCTTTCTGCAGCAGGGCTTCATTGTGTGGAGGAAGAACGGCAGACCGGTTCCTTCTGTTATTAGTTACTGCATCCCTCCCTCACTGCAAGAATAACAGGCTTCTCTTCCAGTGCTGAATGGCAGGCCGGGGGGGGCGGTCCTAAATGGACCAACAGTTGGCATTAACCAATTAACCATTAACCATTCTGCAGCGTGGAGCTGGCAGGAGCCATCTGGCTCACGCAGGGAACTTGTCAGTGCTGTGCTTTGGGGTGACAGCCACCCAAATCGAGTTTCCTTCTTAGGCTGCTCCTCAGAGCATCGCAACCCCAGGCCTAGGATTGAGGCAGAAATGCGAGCGCTCCTTGGGAATCCCCAGCTGGAAGCAGAGGGTGTGCTGTGTGAAGGGGCTGCCTTCGGTCATAGGGCTGCTCCAGACCTTTAACCACAGCCCCTTTTCATCCTGAAGGGGAATTCCTTCTTTCCGGCAACTGTTGAACACCACAAACCTCTACACGACTTCACCTTGTGCTCCGGCCCCTGCTTGCTCCCCTGGTGCAGCCTAAGCAGGCCTGGCTCTGTGTTTCTCAGAGCACGTAATGACATCTCATGCACTGACAAGTGAAAGCGGGTGCCCCGTGTCTGTCATGTTGTGTTTTTAGGTCAGTTCCACCATGGATGGAGGAGATGGCTCTGCTGACCTCGTGATAAACAAGAGGTTTGTTTCTGAAGCTGAGCTAGAGGAGCGGCGAAAGAGAAGGCAAGAAGAATGGGAAAAGGTCCGAAAACCTGAAGATCCAGAAGGTATGGGATAGATTTTAGTCACTATAGGAAAGAGATCCAGGGATATTTCAAAGAAAACAAAACCAAAAAGTAGTAGCTTGTATTCTGCAAGCTCCAAAAAGTTTTCCCTTGAAGAAAGTACAAACTGTTGGTGACTTCATATTTCTAACATTGTCTCATTTCCTTAATTATTCCTTCCTTCCAGAGTGCCCAGAGGAGGCTTATGACCCACGCTCATTGTATGAAAGGCTTCAGGAGCAGAGAGAAAAGAAGCAGCAGGAGTTTGAGGAGCAGTTTAAATTCAGTAAGCACCAACCTCTGTTACTTCCAACAGAACTCAGCAAACTGCAGCAGCTGCGTGGTACCTGCAGGTCTGACCTGTCTGTCTGAGAGAGAAGCAGGGAGCTGAGAAGGGTATTCAAAGGGTGTAGATAATCCTGCAGATGGCAATTATCTGCATCAAGGCAGTGCTGCACATGCATTGCAATTCCCTAACCATAATTAGGTGACTCAAACTTCACAGAGCAGTTTGAGGCTCAAGATCAGCACTTGGGTGAAGTGAACGTGGAGGAGCTGAGCCTTCAAAAAGTAGATATTAATGAGGTGAAAACCTCATTTCTACCAATGTTGCAACTCCTGGTTTTGTAGAAGAATCCTTTGCTTTGTATCACCTGTAGAAATTAACAGTCAAAATGGGGCCTGCTGGCTCTATTTAAAGAGAAGTGAGGGTGATGCTGTGGGACTCCATGTTAAGGCAGCTTCTTGCTGATTTTGGTTCTTTAGCTGGAAGTTCTACCCTCGAACTCTTGCATTCTTTAAGCTCCACTTGCATAGTGGGATTCTGTCTAGAATTTCTCATGTTGGCCATGGAACAGAACTTGGGGATGGCAGGCTGCCAGTTATCAGCATAAACAGATTGCTGAGCTTGCCATTAGACTGAATGGGACTTGACTATGAGGTGAAGATTGAAAAAACAACAACAATGTCTGCCTCATGTAAAGGCCTAAAAATCCTCTTGTGGAATTAAACTAATGACTAAAGGTGGTGTTTGGGTTCAGATTTCTCAGGCTGACACTGCAAACTTGGTTTGTCTGACAAGTACTTTTTAAATCAGTAACTTGGATGGAGAGATGCTGACCACTTGTAGAACAGAAAGGAGACCTTCCCACTGAACTCACACAGGCTTACAAGCCTTGCTCACCTCTGTGGTAACTGTGCTTGAGCTGTGTTAGTCTGGTGTAGGTTTTGAGCTCAAGTGTTTAAGAGTTCAAGGTTGTTTTGCATCCAGTGTCATTAACCAGAAAATATTTCTACTCCTTAATTACAGAACAAAGCAGATAGTTGTCCTCCGTGGGCTTTGCTTTGTTCCTGTTACTTGACAAGATGCTGTAACTGCTGGAAAATAAGAGCTGGTCACCCATGGACTCCACTCACTGCCTTCCCAGTGACGCTGTGCAAAATATTCTACCTCAGCAGCATTCAGGGTCGTCACCTGCAGGATGTGGATGGCTCCCTGCATTTCACGAGGCAGCTGGAAATCAGCAGTTAAAATCATCTGAAGAGAAGGGCGAGGTGCTGGAAGCTCACGGCTGCTCCCCAAATCCTGAGCTCATCTCTGTGCATTCTTCTTTTTTCCAGAAAATATGGTAAGAGGCTTAGATGAAGACGAGACAAACTTCCTTGACGAGGTTTCTCGGCAGCAAGAGCTGCTAGAAAAGCAGCGAAGAGAAGAGGAGATGAAAGAACTCAATGAATACAGAATATCCTTTGCTGATAGGGCTGGCGTTCTTATACTGGAGGCTTGGAGTCTGGTCTGTAGTTTTAATCTGTTGTTCACATCCTTGTTCTAATACTGCTTTAAGAACACGTGATGATTCTTTTACTGTTATTGTAGCTTGGATCTCCTACTAGAATATTTGATTCCAGGCCACCAGCCCTTCACAAAGCTGTACTGCAGGGCAGCATAGGATGCTTTTTGTCTTTAATCTGCATCAGAAAGGGGAGATGTGGAGTGATTTTAGGATTGCTGTCTGTTCTGAACTGAATGTCATGTGAGGGTTACCTCACTTGTGCAGAAAGCAATAGTTGCTTTGCCTCCTAATGAGAGCCACTGCTTAAAGCAATAAGTGAACAGAGTGCAAGTCCTCAAGGATGCTTTACTATAAATGAGAGTCTGAAAGTAGAAAAAGGAGCGAGCAGCTCATATTTATGAGGTGATGACCAAAAATAATCAGCAAATGCTACAAAGAGCTGCATTACCTTGTGTTAGTTAAGGATTTATAACTCAGAGTATCTAGATCTCTTGTGAAGAGCACCCAAGTTCTCTGACTAATTCATTTATGAAGAGGCAGTACTGATGCATTTTCTGATAACTTTACGTCAGAACTGAGCTGAAGTTGGCTGATGGATATGGAATATTTCCTTGATTTGTTGGATCTAATTATGGGATATTCATGGGATATATTAAGGTTCTGTGCTGGCTGATGCAGGGATGTGCAGCACTGTGCTGTGCAAGCAGCTGACAGCCCTGGTGAGGTCACATACATGCAGGGGTGAACCTTACCAACTCAGAATGAACCTTGTGTTGTCTTGGATCAGCCACATAATGCACAGATCCCTCAATTTACCCAGCACAGGATCTCTTCCAGGTGTCCACATCGAGTCTTGGCCTCAGAATCAGCCAGTTTTGTATCTGAAGTCCTGATGTAAATTAGCTGTAGGAATTGCTGCTAACATACTGGGTGATGTCGCAAGGAACCCTGCAGCAACTTGCTAAATGACCCACAGATTTAATGATTTTTGGAGGCATTCTTTCCAAGTGGTCTTGGCTGGATGAGCTGGGTGGTCTGCAGGCACCGTGCAGGAGTTCCTCCAGGCTAGGAGGAGGATTGTCAACCAGTCGTGGTAAAACATCCAGTTTAAGGGATGTTGTTCCGTGGTGAAAGCCTGCATCAACATCGAAGTACAGAGCTTTGTTTCTTTCTTTGTTTTCCTTCTTTTTCCTGTGGTTAAAAGAAATCATGACACTATACAAACTGAAGATAAATGTGCTGGAATATTTGAATGCACTCAAGAGTGAGAAATTCATATGCATGGATGCATTGGAGCTTTATTTCCTCTTACACGAATAGCTGGGTTTTTTGGCTTCTTACCCTGCCTCTTCAGCATTGGACTAACTAGATTTAATGATTTTTTCTTAAGCCAGTTCCAAGAAATGCTTGAAAGCAGCATCCTTTTGTCTTCAGCGCTGTGTGAATGCAGAAATCCCAAGGAGAAGGCGTTGCTATTGTAGGATGGTGCAACATCAAACCGTTGTTGGCAGGGTGAGCTTCGGGATTGCTGCCGTTAGCCACAGGATGGCACTCCTGTGCCATCTTAAAAGCACAGCAACGGTGGTGGTTGGAGGTCGAGCTGAGGCAGGGAGCAGTCAGGGCTGTTGCTGCATCCTTGGGAAAATCCAGTTAGCAAGGGCTTCTGAACGTCCTGACATGAAGGGGATCAGAGACTTCGGGTCGCTCCACAGGGTGCTGGGATGGAAACTGTGACCTTAAATAGGAACATGAAATTCACTGTTGGATATTTGTGTGCAGTAGCTGGGACACTCCTGAAACTCAGGGCTCGTGGTTACACTGAGCGGTCATTGGAAATGGCAGTCAGAGAAGGAATTTGTAGGAAGGCAGATTGCAGGTTATAAGCTGATCTTTTAAATTTGGAGAACTCTCCTTTGCCACATGCAACATCAAGGTTTGCAGAAGCCTTTATACATTTACTGGTACCTCACAAAGAGGCCTCTTCTGTCCTGGCTGAAGTGGTGCCACATAGATGTCATCACAAATAAGTTTCCTTTAGTGGAATATGTGAATGAGCTTCAGTTGCTGCTGTCAGCTAAGTATGTCAGGGAGGAAGAGCCTGTCCTCTCCTCTCCTGCCTCGTTGATCCTTAACCCTTAATTCACAGCACTCTCACTAAAGTGGGAGCGGGTATGGACCCAAAGAAGGAAACTGAGAAGAAATTGCCCATGAAGTCAGTGGAAAACAAGAACAAATTCTCTCAGGCAAAGCTGTTGGCAGGAGCTGTGAAACACAGAAGGTTAGTTTCACACTTCTATAAATGCACGAGGAACGGAACCTGGTTAACAGTATAAAGGGAAGCAGGCCAAAACTGCCTCCAGAGAACGAGGTGCAAACCTTAGCCCTGAAGAAAAAAAAGGGGGGAGGTACAGGAAAAGACCAGCCTTGTTTCTATGGGCTCTCACCAACTGTTGGAGAAACATGAGGCAACTCAAATAGATAAGCATGTGTAAAGCAAGTGGGTAGGCTCTTCATTCTAGGCTGCCAGGCTTGGGCAACCCTGCTGTGGGCTCCAGAGTTTCTCTCTTTTTCAGCTCTGAAAATATCAGCATCCACCTCAGTTCTGTAATTTGATGTAGATTTTTCCTAACAACCTATGAGATCTGTGTTTAAAATGGATCATTTTAAGTAGTTGCTGGAGGCAGTTTGGGGAGGGTATTAAGAGAGAAGAATTTTGTGTACTAATCTGATCCTGAGGGCATCAGGAAGCCTCCTGTGTTCCTCACCAATTGGCACTGGTACATCAGCACCTTTCCTGTCCTACACGGGTGAGAGCTGAGTTTGTGATCTGCTGCCTGTTTTGATGTCAGCTTGGAAGCACAGACTGCTGGTGTGCTCCAGGTTATAGATCAACTGAGCACCTGGGCCCAGGCTGAACCCCTGCAGACAAATGATGGAATGCTTAAGGCAATTCCTAACATCTAGAAATTCAGGCAGTAGTTTTAAGTGCATGAGCAGAAGGACCAGCACAACAGAGGACGTTACAAAAGCAGTGCTCACCTGCATCTGAAGATCCAGGCTTGCAGGAAAAACTTCATAGAGGAAGAATCTGCAGCAAAAGACCCTTCCCCAGTGGCAGCCAGCCCTTAAATGAGGTCTGAGAGAGGTGCAGCCAGGCTCCACCCCTTCCTATCACACAGCTGAACTGCATTCACCTGTGCTCCCAGGGCTGACCGGGTTCTTTCCCCAGGTGCTCCATCAGTGGTTCAGGCCGTGACTCAACAGTTCCCATATAATGAGAGATTACTATTTTAGAAGCTTATCTTGCAGGGTGATGTTTGGCTCCCAGTGCAATAGTAATTGCTGTCTGTGCAAACTGGAGCGAGCTCTTCCAACACCTTGTATGTGGGGTACTGAGTTTTTTAAGGGGAGAGAAGAAAAAACCCTAACAAGCAGCCAGCAATGTCTTGTGTTGGCACCACTGGTACATAACCCAGTGGGGAGCAGGGAAGGAGCTGGTGTGTGCTTAGTGGCACATCTGAACTCTGCAGATGGCATCTGTTTGAAGAGAGCTTATCTGACATGTTGGTGCCATCACCAGCAGTTCTCTGTTCTTGCTGTCTTACTTCCTGTTGCACACTATCCAGGACCAAACACAGCAGGGGTTCGACGTCTGCTTTCAGAGCAGATGTCCTGCAAAGGACTTCCACTATTAAAACCTCCGTGCTCAGAATCACCTTTCATCTGTCCCTCATGTTCTGCCATGAGAAGAGGAAAAAGATCCCGGAAGGGGAAGAACACTGATGCTGGACCTGCAGGGTGGTGGCTGTTCAAGTTTGTCAGGCAGGAAACCAAAACTCACACACTCATTGCTGGTCTCGAGGGTATTCCAGCTAAGCAGGAGTCCCACAGCGAGCTCTGGTTCACTCCCTGCTGGAACAGCTGTAGCATTTGAGGCAAAAAAGTCACTCTGAACTTCACAGTAATGAAGTGGTGGTTTATGAGGAACAAGACAATTCCTTTTTGTGTTTTTTTTCCCCACACAGTTCAGATGGTGGTAACAGTGTGAAGAGGTTGAAGCTCGATACTGACCACGAAGAAAAGAACCAAGGTATGTCCTGATTTCTGCTGCCTGGAAGCTGTCTGCCTCTCACCCAAACAGCAACTGACTGAGTGAGTGTAGGATCTGATGGAGGATTTGCTTTCCTTCTCCTTCATCGTGCCAGGCAGCACAGGTTGCTGTGTTATCTCCCAGTGCTGTGGTGACTGTGGGCATTGACAGCTGTAACAGAAGGAACCTGCTCTGGTCATCAGTCTGCCCCTCACCTACACCATTCCTGACAGATGATTGTCTAAGCTGCCCTTAAATCTCTGCAGATAGAGACCGTGCTCCTTCCTGAGGCAGCTGATTGTAATGCTTAGCTGTTAGCTTTCCCTGATCAATAATGGGAGTCTCCTTAGCTGCATTTCATGCCCAGCGCTGCTTCTGTCAGCCAGAGGCACGGAGAACAGCTCATTCCCTTCCACCAGGTGTATTTGTGCTCGCTTCTCATGCTACAAAGTGATCTTGTCCATCCTGAAACCAGCTTATTTCAGAAAATTACGAGCAGCCAGAAGAAAAACTAAGCTGCGTTTCAGTCGTAGCTGTCAGGATTGCGATTGACTCGCTGTCAAGATCTCCTGACACAAATAGGGTGAGCTGTGATTGTGTAATGACAACCCAAGGCGCTTCCTGCATCTCCTTCTGTTCAGTAAACTATCAGAACGCTGGAAAAAAATTAATTAGCTGTGGAAGATGGGAGATGTTGACTTAGCAGAGCGCTGGAATGAAACTTTTCCCCAACTATGCTGTTGTATTGTTAAAAAAAATAATAAACTAATTGCATAGAACAGAACTATTTATTCTTATTTAGTGGGTTTGCTATTCGACACCCATCAAACTGACAACCTTAAGAATAAAAATCTGTAATGCCAGCACAGAGCTGGGCTTAACTACGATGAGAAAAATCCCCTGAGGTGGCAAGTCCTTCCTGTCAGGATGGCTGTTGTGCCACGTAACGCCGCCTCGCGCTGTAATTAAATCCTGCAGTCACCCACCGCTGGCTGGTAGCAGGTGAATGGCACGCAGCAGCTCCTGGGCTGATGAAAGAAACCCTTTCCTGCGCTCTGGCTTCTGACTGAAGTCCTTCTCTTGCAGAAAAACCGTCCTGTGTTCCCCTGGGGAGCAGCTCTGTGGGAGGATCTGCGGTCCACTGTCCGTCGGCTGCGGTCTGCATTGGGATCCTGCCCGGCCTCGGTGCCTACTCGGGCAGCAGTGACTCGGAGTCCAGCTCGGATGGAGAAGGCACCATCAATTCCACTGGGAAGATCGTCTCTTCTGTTTTTCGTAGCAACAGTTTCTTTGATGGTCCATAACAAAATCCCTCCGTGTGTGATGTAGTGCAGAGTTCACTTCCAAAGCCCTGGTGGATGTCTGATGCATCCTTCTGTCCCAAATATAATATTTCTAGCTAACCTCTCAACTTTAATACATTCAGATGCTTCTAAAATAATTCATTTTTATTTTTTTTTCCCCTATTTTTTTTTTTTTTCCATTTCTGGGATTTTGCTGAGCTTGAGGTGGGAAGGCTGCCACCCCAAAGCAGAGGGCACACCTCGTCCTGTAGATGAGGGCTGGGGGGTAGAGAGGAGAGCGCCTTTTTATGACTCTCATGGGAAGAAAGAATGAATTTTGGTGATCTGTGGAGTTTATACAAGACCAACAGGCAAAAAAAAAACAAAAACCAAAAATGCACTTGAAGCACGGAAGTCTTGTAGGAGCAGCCATGTGTTCTGTTTTAAAATGTCATTTTTATTCTGTATTTGAGAAATGGGGGCAGAACAAAAATCGAGCAGATGGTGAAGTGTAGATTGCCATGACACTGTAAAGAAGTTTTAGTGTTACGCGATTAAAGACATTCTGAATGCATTTTTTTTTTTCCATCTTGGCTTGTGCCATTCATAATTGTTCCTGTTCCATTAAGCAATTTGGGTTCTGCTTATGCAGCCCTGTCCTCAACCCACCATCGAGACGGGGCTGAGGCAGTGCCCTCCTTCTGAATGAGTGCAGAGGAGCTGCTGGTGGTGATTCTGCTCACAGCTCATTCTCGTGGTGTAGTGTGAGTACCGAGGGGGTGGGATATCCTGGCTCACTCAAACCAAGCTGTGCACACACTGGAGAACTCCACCGCCTTTTGCAGTAGGAGAGCAAATGGCTGTCGAAGCTCTGTTGAATTTAAGAGACCTGACGCTGCCCCAAGTGCTACCTGGCACTCTGGTTTTTGCTCCCGAGCTGCTCCTGCCTTTTGTAGCTTCTCTGCTGATGGAAGATACCTAGATCTCCCAGTGCCTTCATTTAAACCTGCTTTACTTCAGAGCTGCACGCGCAGGAGCCTTGCGTAGCTGCAGTGGAGAGGCGTCTGTGCCTGGTGTGAAACTCAATCCACGATGTCTCTGGAAAGCCAGAGCAGCACAGCCCAGCCATGAGTGCTTTCCTGAACGGTATTTTGCATAGCTGCCCTCCAAGCATCTGTTAGATTCAAACGGAAATGCAGAGTGGGGTTTGGAAGCTGTGTGCAGACACAGTGGTGCACAGGAGCTGCAGGTGGTTGTGCTGGACCCTGCACAGTCAAGAGGGAGACAGTTCTGCTGTGGGAGAGCCCTACTGTCTTTGTTTCTTGAAGAGCAAGATCAGGGCAGCTGGGGAGCTCCGTTAACTCACAGCAGCCCTTGAGCCTGAGTCCGTTTCCAGCAAGCTGCTCTTGCAGCTGCCCTATGTAAGCAGGCTGCTATGCAGCCTGGCTACCAGTCCCATTTACTGTCTTACAAAGAGATTTGATGTTAAAGCTATTAACTGCGCTCTGCGATACTGTGCGAAGGGCCAGAGGGCAGATCAGCCCAACTGGAAGCAGCTGGGGCAGGAACACGGCCTTGGGGTTGGGAAAGGATTCCAGCAGCACCATCATTTCATAGTGGAATTGAAATATTTCAGATTTTCTTCTCTCTGCGTGAGGTTTCATGATGGAAAGAAAACTTTTCCAGAGCCCCAGCCTTTGATCTGAAAGCTGAGCAGCACACTGCCTGCCTGCCTGCCCGTGGAGCTGCATACAGCGTTAGTTCTAAACAAGCCACCATTCAGAGACTGCTTCCCTATTTGGAAAAGGGGGGGGGTCAGGTATTTTTCCCTTCCAGAGGGCTTTGCAAAGCAAACATTTCCCCCGAGCTGGCCCCACCTTCCAGGGTTGAGGCTGGCATAGGCCTTGCACTGTGCCCATGCGCTCCAGGCATGGTATAGGTGGAGTGGTGAGGAGCACTGGGCTGCCCCAAGCACCCAGCCCTCACACAGTGCTCCCAGCCCAGACCAGACAGCAGCCCCTTGTTTTAAATGTCCGAGTTTCTTTATTAACCTGAGTATAACAAATATAACATGTACACAGTATAAAAATGAACACAGAGCATGACAGCGGTACGGATACGGCACAGATACATGACCAGTTCAACAAATGGTAATAACAATAATATATTAAGCATTTCATTGCTTGGAAAAAGCAAGTTTTGTTTGTAAAAATTGTATCCTGTTCCACTAAAATTATACAAAGTACATTCAATACTGAAAAGTGACTCAACGGAGTGGGACTGGGGCTCGGCCTGGCCTCTGGGTGTTACCTCAGGCGGCGGCTGTACAAAGTGGATCCAGGCGCTTCTCCAGGAGGAGCTTTAAGAACTTAACAATTAAATTAAGAAGTACAAACCTGGGTGTTTCAGGGAGGGTATTCTTCATTGAACAGCATGTGGAACATGCGCTTTCAGTGGGACCAACAGACTTCGGGAACATGCAGCTGGGGCTGGGCACGGTGCTACGCGGGCTCCGAGTTGATGGGGGGCAGGTTTTGGTGCTTGAAGTACTGCACGACTTGCTGGGGCAGCTCTGCCAGCACAGCTTTGGCCAGTGTCTCCTTGGGGGCCTGCAGGCAAAAAGAAAAAGCAGCAGTGGCACAGGATTCACCTGTGGTTATACTGTATGTCACTGCCTTGGGGACAGGTCCCTCGCAGGCAGAGCGAGGCAGGTGGTCTGGGAGAGGGTAGAGCTGATGGGAGCATGCTGAGTGCTCTCTCTTTTAAGTGGCTCCCAAACGTTTTGGCATTTGCTGGGGTTGCCCCTCTTTTAAGATGAGAACCACCAATAGAATGATGTGGGTCGGATCACAGAAACACAGAATCAGAACGGTTGGAGACCTCAGAGATCACCTCCTTTCAATGAGATGTCGTGTCCATTCTCCAGGTTTCCCCAAAATCCCACCCATGGGCTGGGGCACATCCAGCAACAGGGCACCCACAGCTCTGGGCAGCTGTGCCAGGGCCTCACAGCCCTCACAGCAAATGATTTCTTCCTAACATCTAACCTAAACTTCCCGTTAGTTTAAAGCCATTCCCCCTTGTCTTATCACTACATCCCCTGACAAAGAATCCCTCCCCATCCATCCTGGGATCCATTCAGATACTGGAAGGCCACAGCGAGGTCTCCCCGGAGCCACCTCTTCTCCTGGGGCCGGCACCACAGCCCCCAGGCCCCACTGCTGGGGGTCACAGACTCACGTTGCGGAAATCCCGGAAGGGCACAAACTGGACGATGTCACGCACGGCCTCCTCGCCAGTGTGGGAGCGCAGCACCCGGCTGTCCCCATCCAGGAACTCCATGGCAGCAAAGTCAGCGTTGCCCACCCCCACGATGATGATGGACATGGGCAGCTTGGACGCCTGCACCACGGCATGGCGCGTCTCATCCATGTCACTGATGACTCCATCCGTGATGATGAGGAGGATGAAGTATTGCTGCAGGGAGGGGAAGAGAGGGTCAGAGCTGCTGCAAGGGACACGTCAACTCTAGGCTCGCTGCTAGCAGACGTCAGCACACAGAGCTGAAGGACAGGGCATGGGGACAGATGGACGGACACAACACAGCACCCCAGCAAGACCAGCGCCTTCATCTCCTCTCCCTCAGGGGAAAGTAATGGTTCCATTTTGGTGCATTACACATCTTGCGCGTGGTGGAGAAATGATGAAAAACAAGCACTTAGGAGCATTAAAGCCTTTTGTTCCTCTCCTCATTCTTTCCATTTCCTCTGAAAACCACCAGTGCTGACGTCCTAGAAAAGCAGGAGGAGACACGCAGCCTGAAGCCCATTTTCTTGTTTTTCCTCCAGCCCACATCTCGTCTCTTGAAATCTCCCCTAAGTGCTCTCTTCCCTCAAATAAATTCCGAGTGCAAACGAGGGTGGGTTTCTGGCACTGCTGTGCTGCAGCAGCAGGACCTGCTGCTGCCCTGAGCACTGCAGGGCCCGGGGCACATCCCAGGAAGCATGGCACTGAAACGGGGCAAACACGTGGAGCTGGGGGGGAAAAAGTGTTCCAGGGGAAGACTTATACAAGAAGGCAGTATCTGGAATCCAGAACTGGCACCAACAATCTGTTTTTGGTGTTTAAGGGAGGAGTTGTGTGCTCACACGCTGCTGGCCAGGACTGACCGTGCACCTGTAAGGGAGAAGGTGCAGAGTCTCAAAGCGGCTGAGAACAGGCAAAAATCCAGCTCATTCCACCCTTCCTGCCAAGCTTCTTCATCTGTGAGTAAAGTGGTGCAGAACTGGCCTCTGAGCACGGTCAAAAAGAATGAAACAAGAAAGACATCTCCACTTTTGTTCCTGTTCTCTGAAATCAGTGACAGAAAAGTGCTAAAAGCACGAGGGAGACAAGGAGGGAGCAGAGCTCATCCACTGCTTCTCACTGCATATTTCACAAGCGAAGTGAAATGGGAGGTGATGCTGGGGATCATCTGAAAAGCCCGAGGGCTCTGCAGCAGAGCAGCTGCGAGCATCCTTACCTGGCAGCATCGGCTGGATGCGCTCCAGACAAGTGATGACAATTTTAGAGCCACCTCCTTGGGAACTGAACATCAGCCTGCCTGGGAAGGATGAGCCTGGACTCTGCAGGCATCCATTGCCACCACGGGTATGTGCACCCCATCCCAGGATGGGGACAGGGACCTGGGACGGGGCTGCCTGCTCTCGTCATGCTGATCCAAGCCTCAGCCCCTGATCCATCACATTCTGTGCTCTCAGAAAAGGCAGAGCCGTCTCCAGCCTGTTCCTTTGGTGCGTATTATTTAAATCTCCCTTGATTAAACTATTAGTGCCAACAGAGGGGTGCAATTTGCATATGATTAGTGCCTCTGCTTGGCGCGCAGCATGGGGGATTCTCCCTCCCCCTTCAACACAAGGAGAGAAAATGAAAGCTGAGGAGGCACCTGGGTTTGTGGCAAATCAAACCCGATTCAGGCTTTCCCCCAACAAGCAGCGCGCGTTGGACGTGAAGGCTGACAGTCCACAGCCTTCTTGGGGGAGCCAAGAAGGGTGAGGGAAGGATGGACAGGAAGCAGTGGGATCCCCTTGAAATGGCAGTTGCTGGAAGTGGCTTATTTTAACGAAGAAAGCAAAGAAAAAAGGCAAATACGGGACAGTATCCCTTCACACCTGGAGCTGGGGAGAGCAGCAGTGCACAAGCATCCCCCTCCTACCACCGTGCTGGCACCATCTCCTGCATATGAGGATGGGCAGGCCGGTGCAATGGGCTTCCATGCTAATGAGCAGCTTTCTGACATACGGATGTAAGCAGAGTGCTGGACTAATTATCTGCAACTTGAAGGACTGATGAGCGGCTGGAGCGGCCATGTGGGAACGCCGGTCCTGGCTCTGAGCCCACTGTTTGTCCAACCAGTGTGAAAAGGAGCGATAAAAACAAGATAATCAACATCATCCAAGGGGGAGAAGCAGAAAGGTCTTCTTCCAGGAGAAAGTTCACATTTGGCCATGTGAGCAACGTGTTGCTTTAACCAAGAGGATCTTCCTTCAGGTATCTGCTTTGTATTGAAGTGACATAAACCAAAGGTCTGAAGCCACCCTCTGAACCTCAGCACAGCTGCTCACGTTTCCCATTCACACAATGGTGCCATTGTCACCAGCCTAGTTCCTTTATGGCCCCCATGGCAGTCAGGGACGGTCAGTCCCTCACCACTCAGGAGCCCAAAGCTATTTGGAAAGCAACAGGGCTGCGCTTCTCAGGACTGTCAGTCCCTTCCTGGCCAGAATCCACACGAACAGAAGTTGCCCTGGCAGACCAAAGCCCCATGGAACCCAGCAGAAGCCAATGATGGATGCTTCAGAAGAAAATGTAGAAGAGATCAAAGTTTTCCTGTATCCTGCCATGCATGTTGTGGACTCCTGATGACCTTGATGTTTTCCAGGCCAGAAGGTTGTAGCCTTATCACTTCTCGCCTGGGAGCTGCTCCACACCTGGTCAACTCTTGCTATCATCTAGGGCTGCTGGATCCTCTTTGAGAGAAGGGGGGCAATGTTTCACACTCCGCTCATTCGTATAAATCCAAGGCTCGCTCAAATCATGGCATTCCCCACCCCATCTCATTTCTCTCCCCAGTAATTTCTGATTTTCCACAGCTGCCGTTCTGTTGGCTGTTGAGTTTCTGCATTGTTTTTTTGACGTTCTCTCTGTGAAGCGACGACAGCCAGATGAGAGCCCACGGCTGGGCTTCACAGGCAGGGTTAGTTCTAACTCTCCTCCAAGCCCTTTCCACTCACCAGCATGGGGCAATGGAACAGCAGATGCAAGTCAGCCACAAGGGATGGGGAGATCTTCCCACAATTGTTTGCAGGCAGCTTTCATCCCCAGCTCCCCTAAATAGTCTGGTCTCGCCAGCCAGCTTTGTCTGCTGAGCATGCCATGTCCTCAGGGAAGGAAGGAAGCCCAGCAGTGATGCCATAGCAGCCACGAGATGCTCAGCATCCATCGGTGATGCAACCCACCACCTGCCTGGCAGAGTGGCAAACTGCTGGAGTAGCTGCCAAACCCAAACAAGAAACTTTCTCCTATATGTAGCCCAGATGGAGCCTGGCTCCGCACCGCCTCTCCCACAGCCTCATCTCTCCTGACATGAAAGCAAGGCACCAGGTCACAGCGGCCACTCCACACGGTAGTCAGAGGAAAGCAGGACTTACAGATGCAGTCTCCTGCTGGGTTGCCTGAGCTGCAAAGCGGGCCACGTGGTTGACAATGGGGGAGAAGTTGGTGGGTCCGTAGAAGCGGATGTGAGGCAGGCAGGCTGAGTACGCTTGGACAATGCCCTCCACACCTGTGGGCAAACCAGAGAAGCCCAAAATCACAACGCGCAACGGCCCAAGCCAGCCACTCCAAGCATGATCGCAGGACCATAGATTGACTGAGGTTGGGAGGGACATTAAAAATCATCTCGTTCCAATAAGATGTCACACCCATGCCATGGGCAGGGACACCTCCTGCTAGAACAGGTTTCCTCAATGCCTCATTCAGCCTGGCCTGGAATGCCTTGTGGGATGGGGCTCCACACCTTCTCTGGGCGGCCAGCTCCAGTGCCTCACTGCCCTCTGAGTGAAGAAATTCCCCATCTCATTTAATCTCCCCACTTTTAAATTAAAACTGTTCCCCCCTCTCCAGTCCTATCACTGTCTGATCAAGTAGAGGACGATGAGCTAGTAATGCCAAGGGAGCTCAAGTTCAAAATATCTTTTTCCTCCAAACTCATCCAGATCATGAAGTTTCATCCACTTCTATGCAAATGTTCTAAAATCAGGGCTTTGCTCCTCAGCCACTTTGCAGCAGATCCTCACACCTTCTCTGGTGAGAGGCTTCACAGCACCCACAACCAAAGGCTTTCCTCTTGTTTCTGCAAAAATCTCAAAATCTGGCCAAGAGGAGGAGCAAAAAAGAAAAGCAGCTGGTCTCTGAGCTTAACAAAACACCAGACAGACATGGGGCAGTGCAGAAGTTGAAACATCCCAGAAACACCTTGAATGCTCCCAGGCTGTTTGGAAGCAATACTTTGTCCTGCAGGTCACCAGAGACTCTTCTGCTTCTGCCGTCCAACAGAGCTGCCCAGGAAGATCTTTCTGTCCTCCCTCCCCTCTCGTAAGCCAGGAGAACAAAGAAACCCAAAAAGGCTTTCTTTATCACCGAGCTCCTGTTCTGCTAGGGTGAAGCAGAGGTCAACACAGATGGCCTTGGCAGCTCAAGGTCGCCCTCACTGTCTATGGTTAGAATAGCTCTTCAGCAATGACTGCTATTGGCTTTCAGTTGCTAAATGAGCTACAGAAGTATTAAGCCTGAATTCCCCATCTGCTAAGCAGCCCTTGTGTTTCTCACCAGCAGACGGCTGGTAGGACACCCAGAACGAAGGCGTTATTTTTATGCTGTCTCAATCCAGTTGCATTTTGCCCTGGGACCTCCTACACACCCCCAGATCTTCTCTGCTTTCCACTGAGTGAACCCGTAGTAGCTGCTCTGCTTCCATGCTAAAGGCTGTCTCTGAACTGAGCTTGGAAAACTCCTGTGATAAGTTACTGGAGAAGCCCAGGAGGAAAGACAGAAGACACTGAAGGCACATGAAACCTGGCAGGCACTCACCTGAACAGAAAGGGTTTGTGGGGTTGAAGTTAATGGCAAACTCATGGGATACCTGTGGAGAAGAGATATGAATTAGCACAGAGGCAGAGCACGGTGCTCTCCATCAGTTCAGCTGATGCAGTATCACACGAGTTCGCCCCGTTGGGCCAGCAGTGCTTCCCCACCCTCTGCTGTTCTACAGCGAGGAGCAAAGATAAATGTGGTCAAGGCTGGGGATGGACTGGACTGGTTCCTCTGGCTTCCCACTCCCATCATGACATTATCACACCACCAGAGGTGACAGCAGGTTGTCCCCACGGCTTCCTGCTGGCTGCCCAGAGGGAGAACACACATCACACCAGAAGAAATGACTTCATCCTATTGCACACGATTAGCTTCATGATCTGGGTCGTGATGAAAAGCAGTACAGGAGAGGTGACAACCACAGAACCATCCCTGCAAAGCAGGTGCAAAGCCCACGAGTTTCCCTTCCTCCCAAGCTGAGGGAGATGCCCTCAAAAGGAGGTCCCCTGTGACACGGGTGGAGAGCCCAGCGCTCCCTTGCTTGTAGCACCAGCCATGCCAGAGAAACCAACAGCAGAAACCCTCCAAATGTACTCCTCTAGGAAGTGCCTGCAGACAGAAACCATAAAAAAATTAAAATAAAAACTGGAGAACGGTTGCTTTGAAAGTGTAATTCAATGGCTTGGGTGCAAGAGAGGCTCAGGGCTCCCGTGCTCCAGTGTGAGCCTTGCCAATGTTGGCATGGGGTGACTGCTTGCTCGGGGAAGAACCACCAGATCTGGGGGCTGAGGCATTCCTCACTCTCTGATTCAGACACAGCGAGGAGCAAACGGGCTCTGAGCAGCACCGAGGACACACAGCTCCCTCTTTCAGACTTCTGGGAGCCAAAGGCACGATGTGGGATCTCAGCCCACTGGTTGCAAGGGCTCCCAAACAAAAAACTCCATGCCGTAGTTACAAAACAAGGCTGTTTTCTTCCTCTCACGAGGGTGGTGGCTCGCTGTGGTTCTCAGCCCAGGGATGGCTTCAGGACATGCGTACTCACAGCGCTGGCAGAATGAATGTCCTCTACACTGCCGTGTGAAGCCCAAGTCCTCCCGAGACTGCGAAAGCAGCACGCATCTGGTTCAGACTTTCCAATTAGAATGGGCATTGTGTCGAAAGCAGCAGAAACTATTTTTGCAAGGCACCGTGGGGTGAGAAACGACACAAACAAACAAAAGTAGGTCAGGCTAAAACTCTGGCGTGCTGCAAAGCCGATGAGCTGCCGTACAGGAGGACGGCACCGACCCGCTCAGGTGCCTCCATGCCCATAAGCACAGCCAGCAATGATCCCATTCACACCGTAGGCAACTTGAGGCACACTCTGAAACGCACGACTTGTTTTTCACACACCATTTCTGGTGGAAGCCTTAATTTTGGGCAACGTGTCCTACTTCAGATTTCTGGATTTTCAGTCGTTAAAGGGCTCACTGTTTTGGGGCTGTTTTTTTGGTTTTTTTTTAGAAGACACTCCAAATTTTGCCATGCAAGTATTTATAGAGAAGGTAAACAGAAATGCCTCCATGTTTTGCAATCGAGAAAGAGGGGGTTCTCTTTCTTTTAAGCAGCAGTGAAGCAGTTTGGAGCTGTTTTTCCTCACTTTTTGCAGCACTACATGGAGCACTCCCCCTGCGTGGCTGAAATGTTTCAAAACCTCCTCTTGAGTTTGTACAGATTATATATATATATATATATATATGCATACACACACACACACATATATATATCTGCTAGAAAATCCAACAGGAATTCAACAGGGCTTCAAAATAACAAAGTTAAAAAAAAAAAAAGGGGGGAGGGAGGCAGGGAACTCATTCCCTGTTGGGTGTTGGGTGCACCCAGAGGTACACAGAATCATTAAGGTTGGACAAGACCTCTAAGATCATCCAGTCCAACCCCAACCCATCACCACCATGCCCACTAAGCCATGTCCAAGTGCAGGACCTTTCCCAACTGGGAGCAACCCCTTCCAGCAGCCCCAAAGGGTGGGGTGTCCACACGTGCAGCCTGGCTGCGCCCTCTGGATGGGGTGGTTGTGAGTGGAAGCTCCATCTTCTCCCACCAGGAACCGCAGACGTGCCCAAGCCCCAGCCCAGGAGATGGGGTAGTTGGTGGGGCTTCAGTTTCGAGCATCACCCTCTGCAGGGCCACCTCATCCCCCAGCAACCAAAACCCATCTGCTTCCTACCGGGAAACCGCTCGAGGCTCTTTACAGAGCTGTTACATTGCAAGATGTTCTTTGACATTTCCAACGAGACTTTTGTGTGCAAAATATCTCACTCTGACTGGTTCTTTGAAAGCGTTTGGCGATGCCATGGCAACAGGAGAGCGACGAGAACAAAGCACAACATCCACGACTGAGATCTCTAACCACCTTTCCCATTTTCAGTCTCGTCTGCAATGCACAACGGCCATCGGTTCACCTGCTGCCAGGACACAGGGCACCGGGCACGCAGCTCCCCACCGGCCTGCCCCAACACCGGCCTTGGGTTTCAGCACGTGGGTTCTGAAGCCACTCATCCCTGCACGCCGTGCTCCTTCCAGCCCCGCTGCTTTTTCCATTCCCATTTCTCTCCACAAACAATAAATCCCCTGGTGGTAGCTGGCAGCTGTTATTCCTCGGAAGCTGCTCACCAAGATTTTCCCACAGAATCTAGGGAAGCGACAGACCTGAAACATTTGGTGGCCAATTGGGATGAATCAGCTCCAGCGTGCGCAGGGAGGGATGGACTCCAGACAGTGGCAACAGCAGCAACTCCCACGTAAATCACAGGGATTCTGGCTGCCACAGAGAGCAGTCTGCCTCAGCACGGTGGAACCATGAGAACCCCTGGGCTCTGCCCTGTGGTTGTGGGCAGCTGAGAGATGCGAGGCCATGTAAAAGGGGAAGCTGGATGAGCAGTGTCACCTGCTGCTGGTGGTGGCTCCTATGGCTGTGACAAGCAGTGCTGGACCGGTCCTGTAGGGCTTCTGTACGTGGTTAAAATGCCCCCAGTTGTCCTCAATCTCTGGGAAGAAGTGGGGTGCAGAAGCAGGGGATGCCAAGGCACAGGCTGTAAGCAATCCCAAGGAATCCTGGAGTGTGTTGAGGAGAATTTCCTGGTCCAGACAGCAGACAAACCGACCAGAGGAGATGTATTTCTGCATCTGACCAGATGCTCGCCAACACAGAGGAGTTTGTTAAAGAGGTAAAGACTGGAGGCACTCTGGGGCTGTAGTGACCATCAGGGGCTAAAGTTGTGAAAACGCTGGAGGAAGGGAGGTCCAGCAACAGCTCCAGGTGCAGGGAGTAATTCCTCAGCCCCACTTCTTGAAGCCTCCAGCCAGAAGCAGCGCTCATGGTGAGAACACTGGCTCCAGCAGGCTCCTCATGCTGCTGTGTGCTGCTGATACTCCAGCACAGCCTGACACAGACCATGGTGGCTTCAACCCCCTGAACACTCAATTCCCTGCCCTAACATGCAGCCACAACCTGTAGGCACTGCCCACACAGCATCATCTGGAGGCTGCCCAGCTCCCATCCTCTGGCCAGATCTCACTGCAACCTAATACACTCATCCACGGCCCCATGATTGCTCCTGCCTCCCACCAGCAAGATTAATCAGCAACAAAGGTATCAGTGCCAGGAAGCCTTGAGCGCCAGCCTGGCTGCCTGCACTCCATCCTCACCTCACATCTCCCTACAAACCTAGCATGCCCCATGCCCCAGCTCTGCTCCTACACAGAAGCTCTCAGGACAGAAGTGTTTCAAGCACACAGATCACTGCCACACGTTACCTTCCAGTCTGGTGGGAGCTGGGCACCGAATCCCAGAGCAGGAAACATTTTGTCTCTGCAAGGGAAGAAAACATGAGAGGATTTCCGCGCACACAAGGGATGCCTGCATGCACTTCAGCACACCAAACTGTCGCCATCCCACCAGCTCCAGGAACGCAGCTCCCCGTCTGCTTGAGCACCATCACACTCCACAGTGCTGATGGGGAAAGAGGAGAAACTCTGTCCCTTATGTGCTCTCGTCATTGCAGTGCCTCCATCACAATGTACACCACAATTTTCTTCCACGGAGTTTCCCAAAAGCAGGGCATCATTTCCCCCTGCTCCATGGGCGGAAAGTCAAGCGACAGAAAGGGGTGACATGCATCCCAGCAGCTCATCGGGAAGCCAGGGGAATGCCTGCAAAGCAATGGGAGAGGCAGAAAGGCACAGCACTTACGAGTCATAGTCCTGGATGATCTGCCCGACAGCCCAGATTGCCGACAGGTATTCATTTGTTCCCATGGGGTTGATGTAGTGCAAAGAGGAGGGGTCCCGCGGGTTCCCGTTGGAGGCAGTGAAGTCGATCCCAACCTGAGGGAAGCACACACTGCCTTCTGTTAGCAGTCACCACTACAAATCTATCCTCACTACAAACCTATCCTCCCATTCTCCACTGCAGACGGACAACGGTGAGGCCCAGGCACAGCCCCATCACAACCCAAACCTCCAATTTTGGGAAGTTTGACAAATTTTTACCCTCCCTAAAAAAAAAACAAAAAAACTAAAAAAGCAAGGTTCAACAAAGTAATTCACTATGATACCCACACTTTTTACCATCAAGAATCACAGACACGGCGTCCCAAAGAAGCAAGTCACCACCACCAGGGTTCATGCTGAAGTCTGCTGCCCGTCTGCCAAGCAAGGAGCTCCACGGACACCAAACCAGGCAGGGTTGCCTGGGCTTTTGTTGGGTTCAAGGCCTCTTCTGTCCCAAGAGACACAACCCTGAGCTGAGCTTTCCCTACAGCTACCCTACACAGTGCTTCTCCTGAGTCCAATGCAGGCCAAGTTCCTGCTTTGTCAGCAAGGCACTCGTGCTTCTCCCTCCTCCACGCTATTTAAAGACATTTGTAGGAATGCATATCCGAGATCTCGGATCCAGTTAAATGTGGTCAGATGCAGCGAGGCGATGAACCACCAGATTTGAAATGACTGGGAGGGAAGAGCGAGGAAGAGACGAGCAGACGGCGTGCCTGCATTCGCCTTGTTTGCAGAGCAAATAGGAAAAACCCAAAATAACTTTGGTGGCTAAATTGAGCTCAGGGGATTTGCAGGGGATTTTGCTCTGTATCTGTAATGAGAGAGGAAAAACTCGGCTCCTGGGCCGGGTCAAAGCCAGGGGTGGGGATGACAAGACATCCCCTGCAGCATGGAGCAGCTGGGGATGGGAAGAGTCCCAGGGGCCACTGCCCTCCCTGGGCTCATCCCTTCAGGATGGCAGCAGAGGATCATGCGAGAAGCCCAGTAAAACCTGACCTCTTCAGCATGAGATTGATGGTCTTATAGCTCACTGCTCCAATGAAACAGAAGCAGCCAAGCCACACTCGGTCAGAGCACAATAAAGAAACTGAGGCGCCATGCAAAACATGCTGAGAGCCACGTAGGAGAGCAGAATCTGAACCAGGTGCCTTGGGAGGGGAAAATTCCAGCATTTCCCATTACCAGCAGACCTCAACGAGCGAGATTTCAGCATTCCAACTAATCTGCACAACAGCTCTGTGCTACCAATAAACTGGATGATTTTCCCTTCCTATTCACTCCCCAGCACCAAGACCTTCACGCACAGCAGCAGAATGGCACATAAAGAGCTCTTGCACTTGTTCCCGTTTCTATGGTAACTCTTCCTCCTCCTCCCCCCCCCCATGTTTTCAGACAAGACAACAAAATAAAAGCTGAAATGACTGCGTGTGCCCAGCGCTCGCTGGGTGCCGCAGCAGAAAAGTTTTCAGAAATTAGAAAGCTAATGGGGGGAAAAAAAACAACACTTCTGTTTTGTGGTGGGTTCACTCAGGGCTGTAACGTCTCCTTGTAATTCCTCTTGACAAACCACTGGTGCTCCAGCCCGAGTGAGGGAAATGCAAATAAAAATGCAGAAATACTGCATCGTTAACAGCCCAGAGCCTCTGAGCTGGGTTCAAAACACCCAGGCCTCTCTCAGCAATCTGGATGCCAGTTAACACAGCGATGGGCAGAGATGCTGGTAGAAATTTGTGAAGGACTCCATGGGACTCTCATCCTCAGCAGCAGCAGGTTGTACGCCTGAGCACTGCAGTACTGATGCCAGTACCAGTACCACATGGTTTAACAGCAAGATGGAGCAAGCTCCTCATTGCTGTGAAATCCCACCCTGCTAAGCCAGCAGGATGCAGCTGGCCCAAGGGCAGCCTCCTACAGCACCTCCCTTCAGCAACTTTGATCATGACATATTTATTACCACTATTGGACAAACAGCAAGCCAAAGCCCTTACAGTGAACATCAGCTGGCAGCCTCCCAGGATGTAGTCCAGGAATGAGAAATCTCTGGTGATCTGAAATAAAATAGAAAGCAAAGTGTATCAGCAATCTTCGCTACTGCAGGAAAAGAAAACACCACTGAAATCACCCAGGCCTCCCATCACTGTGTTTTCGGACCTTCAGGGAGCTCCATCCATGTGGCAAAGCATGTAGGAAGGATCATGGGAGGTGGGGGAGTCACTGTCCCTGGTGGTGTTCAAGAACTGTGGAGAAGCGGTCAGTGGGCATGGTGAGGGGTGGGGGTGGAGCTGGACTTGGTGACCTTAGTGGTCTCATCCAACATCAATGATTCTGTGACCACCGGGGTCTTTCAAAGCAGCATTCTGGCATTTCTTAAGCTATGTGTGATGTGGCCAACCACAGTGATCCATGCACATGGCACCAGGGACACAGCCATGGCACGACAGAGAGCAGAGAGCTGCAAATCCTATTCCAAGGGGAGGAGAACCCAAAAAAAGGAAAATTGCCTTCACTCGTGCCCCATTGTATGTGCACTTGAAAACCCAAGAGCATTGGAGACAGAAGGGGTGGGAAGCTGAGTGCAATATAAAGTCCCAAAACCTACCAAAGAAACATCCCAGCATTGCGCTCACCTTGCAGGACTTGACGATGATGATCCCAGAGTTCTTGTAATTCTTTTTCTTCTTTTGCTTTTTGGGGTTAATGCACTCCAGTTCTAGCTGTAAGAGAGAAGCTGTTACCCAAAGCTAACTGGATAACAGAACTGCTGCTGTGCCCTCCCCACTGCTGGAATAGCAAGGACAAGCTCATTGATAGCTAGGGCAGGCCACAGCTGTTCCTCTAAAGCTCTTGGGAAATAAATGCTTTTTCTATATTCAGAAAATAATGGCTGCATTTTTTTATTTTTTTTATTTTTAAATCTAAAACCATTTGAATAAAACCTCTTATCAAAGAACAAAGTCTAAATGTGGGCTGTGGACTCATCATTCCTGCAGTCTCTGGACACCGAACAACTCTCTCCAGCTCAGACCCCCAGATCAGGTGCACCCAGGATCAGTCTGAGATCAGCTGGGCACACCTGGGCTGGAAGAGTCAGCTCTGACAAACGGGTTCCCAGATCCTACAGTGCCCCTATTTTGCCTCCAAGCAGCTCTGATGGGACCACCGTGGCCAGGGAATGCACAGCACTGCTGAGCTGCTTCCAGCCAGCCAGCAAAAGCAGACAGAGCTGCTTGCAAACAGGCTCAAAACTGCAGCTCTGGAAGCATGTACCAAAAAAAAAAAATAATAATTAAAAAAAAGGCGTATTTGGCTGAGTATTTCAGCCATCTCATGTCCCAGCATTGGTCAAATACCAGCATGCCCAACAAAAAAGCAAAAACAAAAATAAAAATCCTCTAGGGCAGAAATCAAGCAGCTGGATTACGCTGAAGGACCCACGGTGGGAGCAGCTCCAGCTATAGGGAATGTGGCCAGGCCCTGGGCGACTCAGCAGAGCAGGAGACCATAGCCTGGAGAGCATTTATGGCAGAAACCAACAACACGAGGATTGCAAGCAGTGCTTTTTCCCTTTGGATCTCAGAGGTGAGAATTCACAGCTAACTCCTTGCTGTAAGCACAGGAAATTCTGCTGCTGTTTTACTGCCGGCCACCTGACCCCAAAATCACATTGGTGCCAGTGGTCCTCACCAACCCTCCTGTCCAATGGGCCGGAGGCCATGAAAACAGCGAAGCCTTGAGGCAAGAGAAGCGATGCTACAGCAGCAGAGGGGACTCAAGTTCTCATCTTCTCATTCCCATCTGCAAACGTGCGGTGCCTGCTCTGCGGCAAGAGCATCCCTGCTCCTGTTTCTGTATTTACCCACATCAGCGTGGCCAGATGAAAGGAAGAGACAGGTCACGAGGAGCTGCCTTGGGGAGAAGGGATGCTGGCATGTGGTACCCAGCACGGAGACTGCTTGCTTCGGAGCCAGAGCCCCCAGCAGCTGGAGCGCAGATGTGCGGGGCACAGAGTGCCTGACCTTTCTGGGTGCAGCCCTGGTCTCTGCCCAAATGCTGCTCCCCGAGGCACTAGGACTTACACAAGCAAGGCAGCAACCAAGCCACACGAGGGGAGGAAGCAAAGGGATGTCCCCAGCTGCACCCAAGTCATGTGCTCTGGCATGTCATGCACAGCAGCATGGGCATGCAGGGAACACCCCCTCCACTGCCCCCCTCCCCAGGCAACAAGGCATCTTCAAGTGTTGCTTCAGACGAATCTTAGATTTTCAGACAAGACTGCCTTCATACTTTCTAACTCAGACATCTATTTCAGCTAAAGCAATGACCTGAATCATTTGCTGTGTAGATGGGAGGAAAAAGCAGTTCTTCCTCATCTCAGAGCCTCTCCAGCACAGGCTGAAGGTCTCAGTGCAAGCATCAAAACCCACCTCCAGCCCCAAGGAACAACGTGGCCACCACTGCCCTTGCCCCATCCTGCACAGAAAACACGTCGGCACTTACTGGAAAGGCATCTTGGGCTTCACACATCCTGGCCACTGAGGTCTGAAACTCCCCAATGAAGTCGTGCCCCCCGTCACTGTCGTAGTCGTAACACATGACCTAGAATCACAGAACATCCCAAGTTGGAAGGGACCCACAAGGATCACCGAGCCCAACCCCTGGCTCCACACAGCACCACCCAAATCCTACAGCTGAGAGCAGTGTCCCAACGCTCCCTGAGCTCCAGCAGCTCAGGCCCGTGCCCGCTGCCCTAGGGAGCTGTTCTGAGCCCACCATTCTCTGGTGCAGAACCTTTCCCTATAACCCTCACCTGACCCTCCCCAGACACAGCTCCTCAGACCCTGCTGCTGTCACCAGAGAGCAGAGATCCACTTCTCTGCAAGAAAGCTGTAGGCTGCCACAAGGTCTCCCCTCATCCCAAGAGGAAGCCAAAGGGCCGTCGTTACCTTGATCAGCTTCTCCACATCTCCATCACACAGTGACACTAAAGGCACAGTGAACGGCTTCCAGACGGGGTCCAATGTGTACTTGATCACCTGTGAGGTGGAAATGGAAGGATAGAGTTACAAAAGGTGAAACAGGACACAGGCACAAAGGAGGGGATGTTCCCCCCTATATAAAGGTGTCCTCTGCATCCCTCACCCCAGCCATAGCTTACTGCCCCACTACTTCCATCTAAGTGGAGTGGTGGAACACCACAACCATCACAGACAGCTGAGCAGCCCTGGATATACACAGATCTTGCCTTATCTGTGTAACAGCTGCTGCATGAGCTGGAGAGCTGCTACATGCTACCTGGTGTAGGGAACCTGCTTTGGCAGGGGGGATGGACTCGATGATCTCTGGAGGTTCCTTCCAACCCCTACAATTCTGTGATTCTGTGAGAAATGTAATTGATAAATGCTTTTTAACATGCACCGAGAGAAGGCAAGCTGTACGTGCTGCAGACCTTGGAGGTGCGTGCAGGGCACGTGAAGATGCTTACACAAAAGTGCCCTGCTCAAAGAGAGAGACTGATGTGAATCTCAGTCCAGGACACAAAGCTCAGAGGCGTCAAGCAGCTCAGGCAGAGTCTTTGCAGGACAGCATTCTCTAACGAAGCACCAGCAGCAAGCCTAACGAAGCAGCCACCTGAAGAGATGCAAAGGCCAGTGCTATGATGGGATGCTCCCTGCAGCCCCTTCCTTTGCACAGACTGCACCCCTCAACATCACCTCCCTGCCCCAAGGGGCTGCACCTGCTGCAGGTATCCCAGAATCAGACTGGCTCAAAGGTTTAAAGGAAAAGGGAAAGGAATACATATGGAAAGTCAGCAAGGGACGACCATTGAGCAACGTCACTCTGTGTCAAGGCAAACACAGGGATCCCTGGAGCAGAAGACCCATTGCAAAGGACCCTAGAGCTTAGCAGCCAGAGTTACAGGAGTTACAGGGAACACACGGGGCAGAGCCAACCCTACGCCAGTCTTCTCACTGGTGTTTGTTTGCATTGCAGAACAAACCCACAGCCCCAGAACACAAGACACGCAAGAAGTTTTGCCTCTCCTCTCCCCAAAGCCATCACTCCTTCTGCTGAGACCAGGAACAGCCCTGCCAGGTGAGGAGCATTTCTGTCCCCATCGTCGCAGGACAGAGCTGTCAAATAACCACGTGGGGCTTGCAATGGGCTTTTATATTACAGACTGACAGACTGGGAAAAACCCTGACACCGTGAGCACAGTTTAGCAGAGAATTTGTAAACACCTCCTCCAAGAGGCTGGGAGAGCAGGGAGCCCACGCAGGGAGGCACGTGTGTGGAGTGGAGCCCATATGCTGCCAGCCACCAGGCCCCACGGGTGGGCGGTGTAAGGATCCTGCTCCTGCACTGCACACAGCCTGCTGGGCTCAGCTCCTCCTAAATAACAGGCTGGAAGGAGAGCACTAACCCTTCCCTGCAGCCACCTCCCTCCTGACATGACAAACGCCAGCCTCAGGCTAACACCAGATTATATTCATGCACCCAAAGAGGCAGGAATGGAGAATTTACTTTCTTTGTATCCGATCTCAAAACATGAAGCTGCTTGTCTGGCACGAGGGCAGTACCTGGGGAGGCTGCTGCAACATTTCCTCCCTTGCCCCACCACTTAAAAGAAAACCCAGTAAGATCCTCAGCCACCTCCCGGGATCCCACCCCCCTTCACCAAGGATTTATGAGATAACATCATTATGTTTAAAAGGAGCTAAGGACCGTGGTGTTGCAGTAGCTCTCACCTCTGTTCTATGGACCAGCATCCATTTTCCATCATCACCGGGTTTATAGAATTCCAAGAAGGGGTCTGACTTTCCAAACAGGTCCTGGGGAAGAACAACAGCACACAGCTTATACAAGGATTTGCAAGCTGCTCAAGATACCTCCTTCCTCCTGCTTTTCCAATACATCAGTGCATGAACGGTCCATGGGGAAGCTGATTCCCATGGTGTCTGTGTGGGTCCTGCAGGTCCTGTCAGTGCTCACACGGTGTCACGGCCTTCCCACACCCAGGCACGTGTCTGTGAGACTTTGCTCGTGGATCCCACCCCCCTGCACAATCTCTGGACACCAATGCTACGACAAACAGCCCCAGCTGGGAGGCAGCTGTGTTTGGGTTAGGAAAACAACCAGAGCTTCAAAGCACAAACAGAACTATGAAATGTATGAGAGTCTGGGGGGAAAAAAAAACCCTCCTACACACAGCAGGAAAGCATGAGGAGAGCAAATCTTGAAGGAGCAACTGCACGGGTGTTGACAGAGATCATACAACACCCTCCGAGACACACAGACTTCAGCCAGCACGCGTTTGCTTTCCTTAGATATCCTCCTGATAAAAGGACACAGCCGTATGGCAAACACAGCACACATCCCTGCTGGGCATCTGCACGGGGTGACTGAGGTCTTGGAGCAGCATGGGAAGGCTGATGAGAGGATCCCCAGTGCTTGCAAGAGATCTTTGCTCCCATTCAGAAAAACTGTGATAAAAACCAACCTAACTCAAAACGCTCCAAATGATTTCCTGTTTCCTGAGAACTCCAGAGGCAGGTGGCTGCCTGAACTCTGTTGGCTGGAGGATCCAGAGGACATAGTGGGGATGCTCAGGGCTGGGGGATGCTGGGGGTCCCAGTCCACGAGGCAGCAGCTGGTGTGGTGGCAGGCTCCAGCAGAAAACCCTTTACTGTTTCTATCCAAATCCTGTTTCCAAAGCCAGCTGGAAACATAAATCACTGCAAGTATTTTGGCTTGGAGAAACTGGAACCTGTTCTACTCAAAACTCACAGTCACCTCTGATGACTGCTTTCATTTTATTTTATATAATTGGCCACAAGTTAATGGGCACAATGAAGTATAGTCCACTACAGCTTGCAGGGAGCCTCTCTGATGCTGTTTTCCCCCAGTGTTTTTGCTATGTTTGCAGAGGAGTAGGATAAGCCATTCTTTCTGCAAGAGACTTGGTTGCAGTGCAGCACTGTGCCTGCTTACACAGAGCCTGGGCTCAGTGCTCCAAAGCTTCGCTGCTGAGTTCAAGAACCAGTAGTGCACTCCCAGCCCTGTGGATCCCAGCCCTGCCTACTCCAGCTTAACCTGCAACCTGAAGTGGTTTCATTGCCCTGATTCCACAGGAAGTGACAGAGGTGTGGGCTCGGGTGGCAGCAGGGAGCGGGGCAGGATCCCAAGCAAAGCACATAGAGCAGCTGCTCTGTGAGTGCAGCCAGCCCTGCTCCATTCAAAGCAGGGTGGGAGATGCTTCCAGACCACAAGACTGTGCACCGTTATTTTAAAACGTCAAAGCCACCACCATCTCACCCATGCAAGCCTGGCAAAGGTAGAAACTGAGCTGCTGGGACTGGGATCACTGGGGCTGAGCCTTCTCTTCTGCAAGATTCTTCTTTTTCTAACAACTCTACCAAGAGCTGATCTGACATAAGGTACAAAAGCCTCAGGCTGGTTCTGCTGCTGACATTCCCCCGCTGCGAAGCCTTGCTGTTTGAAGCCATGCAGTGAGCAGTGCACAGACAAGCACGGGTTCATGATGGAGAGGAAAACCTGCCCTTGGTCTGAGAGAGGTCCCAGCGTTGGGTTGGACACTGTGGAGAGGGCTGGTCAGCAGCATGGATGCCAGTAAGAGATTCTCAGCTTGAGTGCAGTGTATCAGAGAATGGCTGGGTTGGATGTGACTTTAAAGCCCATCCAGTTCCCATCACAGACAGGGATGCCACCCACTAGATCAGGCTGCCCAGGGCCCCAGCCAACCTGCCTTGAATGTCTGCAGTTTCCTTTCATGTGTGCAGGGACCACTTCCATTTGTGTTCTGCTCTGAAGTGCCATGACCATTCCCTGAGCACCAGCAGGACTCTGAGCACTGCTGTGGTGCTCTGTCTACAGGAATCAGCAAGGAAACCCCACCAGCTCCTGGTAACTGCAGAAGCACAGCAAGGAGCTTTCTGCTGACATCTACTGATAAACTGGAAGGAAACCCAGACAGATCATTCACAGTCCTCAGCCCAGCACAACTATGTCTACCTCACAAACTGCCTGCCTATAGCACTGCAGGCAGATGCTAAATTTCTGTATTTTGACTGTGGGTCTGGAAAACAGTAGACCAACCTATGATGACTTGTTGGAAGAATATCACCAGACTTCAGCTCTGCATAACTTAGGAGAAGGACCTGATTGAAAATCAGGTTAGAAAGGAAACTGCCTATGGAGCAAGTGATGACAACAATTAAGTTGCCAATATAACCACTGCATACATGCCTGAGGTACCAGCATCACAGTGAGGCTTGGTGAGGAACCAGATCCTTGGCTCTGGTCTTCACAACAGCCATGGCTACAAAGCCACGTAGGAACCACGAAGCATGAAGCTTGAAGGAACCACATCTATAATGAAATCTCATCCCTTGCCTTGCAAGAGGGCAGAGGCTTTTTCATGGGAAGAAAGCTGCTGCATCAGAGATTTCTTCACTGACATGCATGGGGCTGACTCAGCCACATCTCAGAAGTTGTCATCATCTCAAAGATGTTTTCCAGCTCGTTTAGGAAATGCAATTACTTGGGGATTCCTCAGTAGGAGCATCCAGCTCTTTGCACCGTGGAGTAGTAGACAGGATAAGAGGAAGAGCAAGGTAACAGTCATTCCCAACAGCTGGGGAAAACACTTGGATAAACCATCTGGTTTGGACAGTGGGACTGAACAAAGCAAGGGTGCCTGGCTGCATGCTTTACCGTGGTTTGAAAACCAAGGGCCATCCTACCAACAATACAAGCTCTGGAGGCACTAGGAAGGAAGAAAAAAAAAATTGAAAAGAAACATTGATTGCTTAGCAACAGAACTGGTTTAAGAGGAATTGTTCTGGTTGCCTAGTAAATAAGGTCAGATTGCTCTGTTCAGAATGGCTTACGGTTACCCTGCAAGTCACACCCAAAGCAAAAATCAGCATTATCTCCACGAGGTTGGTGCTTCTTCCTCTGGAAAGATGGGCCCTCCTGTTTGATCTATAAACAAACACTCACTCAACTTGAAGGAGGGCTAGAGGCAACAAGCCAGGAGCACTCAGCACTTCTGAAATGCTGAATTGAGGGGTATCAAAACTGTCAGCCCAGCCAGGAGACATTTCCCCTGAAATAATAAATCTGGCTCAGATGTTTGTAAGACATGATGGTACACAGGTCCTGCGTCAAACAGAACCCTTCCTTCTCAAAGTGCACTATGAAGAATTCCACATCCTGACAGCAGGGAGTGACACAGCCAGGACCTGACTGGACCTCCAGCCCCAGCCTCTTGCTTTCTACATAGAGACAGCTTTATGACACTACTGTACTCACAAGCAGAGATCTCCTTAGATCCCCTAGCCTATGAAACAGAAGTTTAACATTTACATCCTCCTGACGTATCACCACTCACCTTTTTATCCAGTTTCCTGCCAGCCATACTCAGAGTAATCACCCTGTTGTCTGACAGCTCTTGGGCAGCTATCTGAAAGACAAGGGGAAGCTGTGTTCATTTTAACATGAAAAGTCAGTGAACAGAGAACCAAAACCCAGAGGGCAATCCTGCAATGTGAGATGTGCATCCTGGAGATGTGCAGCTCCTACAAAAGTCATTCTCAAGTTCCTGAAGATCTAATGTACACAGTATCCCACTATTGAAGAGTTAAACTAATTTTGCCTTTGCTAATCAACAAATGCTGTGTTGCTTCATTCTCTGGGCTCCTGGCACTCTGGTAGATGGCATTTCCTTTCTTTTCCCCAAATCCTTTCTCACTGAGTGGTAGGAAAAGCCTGATAAGAGAAAGGAATTTGGATACCTTATTGCTCTTGACAACTCCCCGAAAGGAGGCTGTGGTGAGCTGGAGGCTGGTGGCCTCTTCTCCCAGCTGACAATTTTAGGATGAGAGATAAAGGCCTCAAACTGTGCCAAGGCAAGTTCAGGTTGGATATGAGGAAGCGATGAGCAGTGATGCAGTGGCACAGCTGCCCAGGGATGGGGGGAGTCACCGTGGACTAGATGATCTCAGAGGTCTTTTCCAACATTAATCCTTCTATGAATTCCCTGAGAAGGTCAGCAGTAAGATGGAAGCTATGAGAACAGAGCCAAAATCAGATCCAACACCACAGCCTTTCCCCCAGCCTTGGAACAACCGATGCCTATCAGGCCTGGCTACCCAGGGTCACACAGCTGCCAGCAAAGCATCCACCAGAGCTGGCCTCATGCAGCCATTTCTGTGCATGGGCACATCCAGGTGTCCCTGCTGTGGTTTCAGATGTAGTGACACAACCAAGGACCAAGTCAAGGGCAAGCAGCAGCTACAGAAAACATTGTCACCACAGTGTGCCACCTCATCATCCACGTCACAGACCTTAGGGCAATCCCAGCAGCACTGCTGCCTGGAGTGGGGCCACGTTCACCCACCATCACCCATCAAGATGGCCCAAGGACGAAGAGCACTGCAGTTCCTGATGGCTGCAGCAGGCACAAGTGCAGCCCACATTACTTCAGTTTCCAAGATTTTTCTCACAAGCCCTCCGAAATGGCTTTGACTGCCAAAGACCAGTGGGCTGGTTGTGTCTGGAACACCGTCTAATGAGTCTCCTGGTATTCTAAGAGAATGTTTATAACAAAAAAAAAAACCACAAAAAACCACCACCCCACATTTATTCACTTATGTTAGCAGTCGCTTTCTGAATCACTTGCATTTCTTCTCCAGGCTCTGTCCTACCCAAGCATCTGCTCTCCACCTCCCGTCTCCTGTTCTTCCCCTTCCCCTCACTGACAAACTGCCTTTCACTGGACAGCAGGGGCTTGGGTTGTTCTTCACTGGACAGGCAGCCTAATCATTGGGCCTTTCTACAGCTCAGTGAAATCAAGGGGACAATATCCTGCAGAATGAGCAATCAGGGGGGTTATTCACCCTGATGGACGCAGGGGAGCATGCAGAGATGGTGAGGCAGTCACAGCCTTTGAATCTGCTCAGGCACAGCCTCTCCCACAAGGACAGCTCTCCTCACAGGGCTCTCTTCCCTGCCTACCCCAGAAGTTCAGATTTATTTAAGGACATTGCCTTCAAATTGCTTCCTATGTACTTTAACAAAACCACAGCTTCACTCTTCTCCACACAGCCCTTGGTGGACACGCACGGTGGTCAAAGTGGCAAGAGGAACAGGAGCTGCAGGGAAACAAATTACCTTTGCAGGCCACAGCAGAACCCACCCAGAGTCCCTGCAATTTTGGGCTCTTCAGAGGCCAAGGTAGAGCTGGGCCACGCATACAAACCATGGTGACATCTCCCCATGGAAACTAACATCCCCACTGCTTTGTAAAGACCTCAAGATTCACTCCTACAGTGACGTGCTTTGGGATTTTCCATATCTTTCAAACCTCAGGACTCTCACTCAATCCCAGCACTCCAGCCAAGGCACTTCTGTTGCATTCAGCCCTTTGACATTTGCGTGCTGCAGTTAAGAAAACGGAGACCTGGATAAAGCTGAAGGGACTGTGGGTGAGGAAGGCAGGGTTTGGCTCCCAACCCCAGTTCTGGGAGCACAAAGAAGACTGTCTTGGTTGGTGCTGGCAGCACAAACCCTGGGGCACAGGCTCCAGCAATGTGTCAGGCTGCCAGGACCCAACACTGCCAGCACACAAAGCAAAGCAGCAGACATCCCAGCACCCTTGGTTCTGATGATGCATCAGTGACAGATCAGAAGCTTCCTCCTTTAAAGCTGGAAACCTTTGAACTCGACTGGAAACTTTACAACTCCTTCTGTTCTTCCTACTCCAGTGGCAGGTATGGGGCTGCAAGAGCCCACTTCTGGGAAAGGCACATGGCCTCAGGTGCCATGCAGGCTTCAACGCAGCTTCTCCTTTTACCTTTAAAGATTAACTGCAGCAATTAAGAGAGAAAAGCTAACAGCATCTTCCCAGTCTCTAGAGCAAACAGCGATGGGAGATGCCCTTGCAGCAGGCAGATCTTGGTCTTTTAAAATGTTTTTAGACCCATCTGGTGCTTTTAGACCTGCCTGCAGTTTAACTCCTTGTTGGCTTTTTCTTCCACACCTTTGCTTCTTTGCTGCAAATTCAACATAAACTGGAATGCAAAAGTGAATGAAAAGGATGGGAGATGCAGCGTATGGGAAATGAGCCTAAATTTAGTCCCTTCTTTAAAAAAAATAAATAAAAATCACTAAATAGATCCCCAGCAGGAACACCACTGCCCGAAGGGGTCTGCAGCAGGAGCAGAGGCTGTTGCTATGAGACCTGTTGCTACGGCAGAACTCTCATCCTCCTCGTACAAACAAAACCACTGACTGTCAGCAAAGGCATCGGCCCTTTTCCCTTCGGCTGCTCCAGGGAGGTGTGAGCAGGCATCATGTACAAGATAACAAACAGCAGCACGTATTGACTCTGTTCTTCTCCAGATTTAGCATTTCTTATTTTAGTGCTCAGAGACAAAAGCGCTGGCTGAAGTCATCAGACAGGGACTGGGCAACACAACGTCCTCCAAAGAGACCGAAGGTGGGCAGGAAAATGGGAGGCAAGGGAAAAAAGGGGCATCAACCCCAGCCCTGCTGGTGTTCTGCATCACCTGCAGTTTATTGTCTGCATTCACACACTCCATGGGTAAGGTAAATGAGTTACTGTACCGTTATCATCCCCTTCCCAGCTGGCTTGCCGTTCCCCAGAAGGAGAGTTCTTGTTATTTTCTTGCTGGAGACAATCTAGGAAAAAAAACAACAAAGAAAATAAAGTCATGTGTTCAAATGCAGACTCATAAGCAACTGATCATTGCTCACGTTAGTCAAATCATATTCAGTATTCACAGTGGTAAAAGAAAGATGCCGCACTGAGAGCTGGCCATGATGCTGTCAGTGCCACCAGTGCCACCCAACAACCCTGTGAGCTTTCCCCACAGACTGCAGAGCCCCACACAGCGACCTGCTGGTACCAGCTGTGCTCTTCTCCCATTCCTACCAGCAAGCCCTTCCAAATCTACAGGCTACAGTTTCAAAGCGCAGCCCCATCCATCCTGCTGCCTCCTCCCTCGGTCCTATGTCACACAGCCAGAAAATAATAATAATAATTAGGAGAAAACCATAATGAAATGGCTTAGCTTCTAGCTCTTGCTATCCGGCTGCACCTGAGTTCCTCCTATTGCTCTCCAGAAATGCTTTTCTCTCTCTCTTTGCAGTTTAAGGCAAAACCCCTTCCCACTGAGACTCCCACAGCAGTGCTGGGATCTTCAATCCAGCCATGCCCTGCAGCTCTGCCTCCAAAACACCCCGGAATCCCCAAATAACAGGGCTAGATGTCTGTGCCTTGCTGTGGCATGAGATTTCTTCATAACCTGACAAGCAACAACCACGGACACCCTGCAGTCTGCAATTTGATCCCTTTTAAGGTTTCACTTGGCCACAGGGGTCATTGCAGGCTTCCGAGTGATCCAACCATCCTTTTAAATCTCGCCACAGACCTAATTAGCTGCAATAAAACAATCCAGCTGATCTGACAGGGCTCTGATGGCAACACAGAACTGGAAAGTCAGGTGCTGGGTGTGCGGTTCAGCAAAGGCAGGTTCCTGCTGCCCCAGCCTGCCCTCCTTCCCTTCCAACAGCTGCTCGTGCCTCAATACAACCAGATGGGCTGATGGAAACATCTCACCAAACAAAAAACGGACTTCAGAAAGTCTATGGCTGAGTCCACAAGTCCCCCCCGTCCCACCCCTCTCCTCCACAGGTCCAGCAATAGCTGGGCTCCTCCAGGACCTTACACAGGATCAGTAAAGTCAGAAAAGACCTCTCAGACCCCCAAGTCCAACCCCAACCCATCCCACCATGCCCACATCCCTCTGCCACATCCCCACGGCTCTGGGACACCTCCAGGGACAGTGAGTGCCCCACCTCTTCGGGCAGCTGTGCCACAGCATCACTGTTCTAAGAACTTTTTCCCTATATCCAACCATTCGTGAGGTGACTCTTCCACCCTCCTCCCTAGTGCATATAAAGGATGCCTCCCTCCAGCATGAGGCTGCAGAGCCCAATACTCCTGCAGAGCCATGCTGAGGCTTCAGCCCTGTTTCCTCATGTCCACAAACTCTCTTTTCACAGCGTTCATCAGGACTGTGCCCTCCATAATGAGCACAGCTGAACTGTGCCAGAGGTGGCTGCAGCCAACAACAGAACAAATACTGAATGGCTTGGCCTAAGCCACTGAGCAACAGCTTGGGCTGTTTCCTGAGCTGTCTCTTAATTTCTTCAGGATCAAAATTAGGTCATTACAGAGCTCTTCTGAAAACACAGACATTAAACCTCAGTCAGTAAATGTCAGTGCTCTTCTGACAAGTTCTCAAGTTGGCAACAGTGAAGTTACTCAGCTGCCTTTGGCATATGCAGTACCAGATAGTCTGTAATAAAGTGACCACATTCATCGGCCTCCTTGGACGCCTTGGGCCAGCTGTCCACACCAACCCACCTACTACAGTGCCTGCTTTCCCCAGCCCATTTGCTCGTGCCAGGTACCACAGCAGTCCTGGGCAGCTGGAGGCTGAAAAAGAATGGAAAAATCTCCCTCATTTCTTGCCTCTGAGTCAGAGCATGCTCAGAAGACAAAGAAGTTTGGAGAATTTAGCTGCCAAATCCTAACAGGGTCTGGGCTCATGAATGCAAAGACCTTCCAAAGGCTTACAAATCACATCTGTCTCAAAAGCTTTTCCATAGGAAGAGCAGAAGACACATTCCTGCACCAACACGTTACAGTAAGAGGCATGATTTACCACCCAACAGCAAGGTTATTGTGCATGTGTTTTTCAAACGCTTCATTCTCAAACAGAAGAAAGACATCATTCTTACTACAAAAGTTCTGACCAAAAAAAAAGAAAAGAGAGAGAGAGAGAGAAGTAGATCTGCAGTGCATCTTAATTGTAAACACCTGGAAGTTTCTCAAGTCCAAATCCCAACTGGTCATCATGGCAACTAGTAGAACCCTTACTGACAACAGGTACCTCCAACACTTCCAGTGCAAGTGTCCAAGACAAATGGGTGCGATGCCCTCTTGCACTTCCCCAGGCTTTGGTCTCTCTGCAAGCAGCAGCAGGTGCCCACCCTACATCCAAGCTCAGATTTGGGCAAGTAACCAACAGCCCTAGCATGAAACACTTCAGCCCAAAGAGATGAAATGTGACAAGCACTCAAAGCACTTTTTGCCAGGAATGACCATGCAAACTTTACAGCGGGTAGGAAAAGTAGCTCTGCCCCCTTCAACTCCCCTGAGGATGGTGTGATTTGGGGTCTCTTAGCTGGAGGACGAGCTGCAGGAAGAGGACATCAGAGACTCACCGTGCCCAGCGTGCAGGAGAACTCGCCAAGGAAGTCATGCTCATACAGCTGTGTGCTCGACTTGTCCTGGTCAAACAGGGCAAACCTGAGCTTCTGCACTTCTTCGAAGTGGTAGTCAACAACAAACTTCTTGGAGAAGGCCGGGTTGAGGTTGTTCACAGCTGTTTCTGTCCTGTCGAGCTGCAAAGACAAAAAAAAAAAAGGGCAATCAGGCATCTATGCTTTACATCTTTGTCACTGCAACGTCTCTCCTCTGACCGCAGCTGGAGCCCTGACATCTAGAAGCCCTGTGCTGGCCAGCAGAGAGCAACAGGCACGCAGCAAACACAACCCTAAATGCATGCAAGGTGGGTTGCATCTAAGAGAGAGCTGTGTCTCTGAGGATAGGGATTGGAGTGGGCTCAAAGCTTACTGAAGCCACAGCCTTTGCATTGTTTCTGACACTTGCTCTCCAGGACACAGAATGCCCCTCGAGCTCATGCTTTCACACCTCCCACCTGCTGCTCCTCTGCCAATCACACTCACACCTCTAATGCTTTCAAAGTCAACCAAAACTATTTCTTTCGGGCCACACAGCTTACAGCAGAAACAAGTGAAAAAACAAAGTGTCACAACTCAGAAGAGTAATCCCCTAGCGTTTCCTTCTAGATCTCATAACAAAACATTCATGTGGTTTCTTCTTTTTTGGCCTTCCATGGAAGAAAAACTTAAATCACCAAATCACCATGGTCCATTTTTCATGGCTTTCACCCAGCACTAGCAGAAGCAAGAGGCTGGAAGGATGCACAAGGCAGGACTTCAGTGGACTCCGATATCCAAAATAGCTCTGGAATTCCCTCAGCCAGATACAGCATCTTTATAACTTGGTACAGAGTGGGGATTACACTGAGCCCAGTGCAGGAGGGATGTGAGGTGGGGCCAAATGGGAATCTCCCACCTTTGAAGTGGGTCTTCCTGCAGCCTAGAGCTTGGCCAGCTGGAGACAAGACTCATCCCAGCTCTGGCTGTTGCCTAAAAACAATGTGCTGAGCACATCCAGCTTTGCCCCAGCCTCATTTTGTTGATGAGATGCCTTTGACACGCACAGACTCGAGGCTCCAAACTGCAAAGACAGCACAAAAAACCCTCACCCTTCTGTTGCTGCTGCTATACAACCTGAAGTTTGGATACACTCATATGAAGGAAAGAGAACTCCCCTCAGCTGATGTTTTTTTGGAGAGCTGGAGCTGGCAGGATCTCTTACTGCTATGTTCTGCTCTTCTCTGATGTTTCAACAGTGGCAGAGGTTGCAGTAGCAGCTCTGGCTTGGACACACTGCAAGGCTGAGATACGTAATTAACCATCAGACACATGGGCTTCACGTCCACATGCACCTGCTGCCATGGGAAACACTTGGCACTGCTCTCCAAGAGGACTTTCCAGAGGGAGGTAACCAGGACTCAGCTCCCTGCAGAGAAGGCAGCGGGTGAAGGCTGATGGATGGCCACAGTGAGCTCCTTCAAAGCCTCCAAAACCCTCCTGCACCAGTATGGGGGAGGACACGACCATCCCATGACCAGCCTGCTGGCTCCCTAAGCCCTGGGAGCAGCAAAGGGCCACCAGCCTGCCCTGAAATGAATAAGGGGAGTCAGCACTCAGATCTTTGCAAGACACAACCCAGACCCCACAACAGCTCGTCTGCAGCAAGCAGCTCCTGTGCTGGCACCACGGACTGCAGGACAGATGGATGCCTGCCAGAGCAGCAGAGCCAGAAATAAACACATCACAGCAGGAAGGGAAAAAAAAGAAGAAAAAAAAAAGACAGAAAAAAGCACACGGCCTCATCATCCCAGTGAAACTCATTCAGCATACGAGAGAGAATCCGGAGGGACTAAGTGGAAACGTGGTAAGTTTGTTACATAGACACCATTGTGGTGCTTTTAAAGTCGGTCACTTAGTCTGTTTTAATTGCCAGCAGAAGTCTGAAGTAAAAGCTGTACTCTTAAAACAGCCACCTGCAGCGCCCTCTGGGGAGAGGGGAATCAACCAAACCAACTGGAGTGGGCTGTGCACCAACGGGGGCAAGGCAGCTTCTCACAGGTCCTTCCCACTCTGCCACCACCTGCACTTCAGCACCCAAATGCCTGCTCAGAGAGATGCTCCTGGCAGACCAGGAGCAGCAGCCATCAGTGAGCTCTACCTTATCTGAACAGCACAACACACACAAATCTCCTTTCAAGCCTAGCTGATGAGACTCTGCAGGCAACAGGAATGGATTTGAGCTCCTTTCATGTACCCTGAGCTAATGGGAAGCCTGGGAACGAGTCAAAGCAGGATGAAAAGTGAGCTGACATCAGGCAGCCACCTGCCCTCAGCAGCTGGCTGAGAAGGGGCAGCAGGCCACCTATGCTTCCTCCTGTCCCACTGTTATCCAGAATGCCTCTGCAGCAAGGCTGCAAACAAGTCTGGGATGCGATGGGGTGAAAAGCATTGCAGGTGGGGCCTCACAACAGCAGAGCAGAAGAGGACAATCCCCTCCCTCGACCTGCTGCTCATGCTTCTTCTGATGAAGCCCAAAGTATCCACTTTCTGGGCTGCAAGCACACGCTGAGGGCTCATATCCTGATCTTCACCCACCAGCATCCCCAAGGTGTTCTCTGCAGGGCTATTCTTGACCTTTCCAGCACTCAGTCTGCACTGATACTGGGGATGGCCCTGACCCAGGTGCAGGACCTTGCACTTGGCCTTGTCAAATGTCCCGGGTTCACCCCCACAGAGTGAGGGGGCTTCCTTCAACACCCTGATGGCCAAGTGTTCCATCACCTGTACACTGTGAAGCACAAGTAAATCACAAGCCTCAGCTGCTTGCTACACATGTATTTCAGTCTTCATCTTGGTGCAGCTCTTTACCTTCCACCTTGCTGGTGACCGTTCTGTACGAGGGCTTTTCACACCAGGAAATAAATATGCCATTGGCTCCTGCCTCCCCTGAGCACTCAGCACAACCACGTGCCCTGCAAAATGCAAAGCTGGCTCTGCATCCCAGCAGCAGACAAGCACGAGGGTTTTGAAAAGGCAACCAGGGTAACTAAAGACTTGTCTTCAGAGCCTCAATCCTACACAGCAAGCACAAACCCAGGGAACTTTCTCCATTGGCAACCCCTCGTGGTAAGCAAATGCAGCTAGGGTCGTCCAGTTTCTGCCAGGAGGATTGCTGGAGATATTCAGTATTGTCTGTCACCTGGGAGATGCTCTTCCAAGGGGCAGGGAACACGTGATGGACATCACTTGGGGGCATCTAGGAGCCCCAGGTCAGCAGCTGGTGGCCTCCATATCCTTCTGAGATGAGCAGTGTAGGAGATGAGGATTGCCCAGGCTCAGGAGGGGTGACTCAGAGTGGCACAAAAGTGAGGGCACAGCTGAGTCACAGGCCAGGTCCATCCTGGCTCCTACAGCATGATGTCATCAGGCAGAACACTGACATATTACCCATCTTTATGCCACTTCTGGGCCTGAGCTTTTTGTCTCTCCTTCTACCACCCCCTCCAAGGCTGATTCATGACCATTTTGGTTGTTGCTTATTATTATTATTATTTTTTTTTAAATTCCTCTTAAGCTCAGTGAGACAAAATAATTGTATTTGGGAACAAATATGACAGCTGGAAGAAGCAGCCCCACCACGCAGGCACAGATGCTGCCACCACCATGTTACCACAACACAGGGACACAGGAAGGCTTGGGTGCTGGCTGTGCCCACAGCATGCTCCACACGTCTGCAGCTGAAAGAAGAGCAGAGCACAGAGCAATCTGCTGCTGGAGCACCTATTTTGCCAATTAGACAGCTATAAAAATAGCACAAGGGGAAAAAAGCAAAACTTGCATTGTATTAAAAAAAAAAAAAAAGAAAAAAAAAGCTTTGGAATCAAAACCACTGGACTGAGACGTTACTGACAGCAAAAGAGGAATCCCTGAAAAGCACAGTCAGGTCAAAGAGATGACACCTATCAAGACTGGGAAGCTCATCAGTTTCATCCAGGCTGCTATTAAGCAGAGTTAATTGCAGAATGTGGCAAAAGCGAGGTCTGCCCCTACACCCTGCCCGTGACGTGGAGATCAGCTGCAGGAAGCCTGAGCTGATGCCCATGGATTCACCATTTCCTGGCCAGGTGCTCAAGCTGCCCCCTAAATCCAAGTATCAGGAAAAAGACACCACGTAATTCCCTGGGAACTGGGGGGATTTAATGCCTCTCAGCTGCTCGTTTTGTGCTGAGCTGATCAGCACTGTGTCCGTCCATCACATCCCAAGGCTCTACATATCTGTTCCCTCCTCAACGAACCAAAGAACCCTTATGCTGCCTAACTCCAACTGCACTCACAAGATGAAATCCACATGTTTTTCCACAGGCATTTTAGCTCAGTCTTTCCTTCTGCAGCCAAAAGGTATTTTCTAGGCACAGAGCAAAATGTTCTCGCACAGACAAGTCTGAATTCAAGACGCTCATTCAATCACAGACAACATTCTGCCCTACAAGGACTGCTGCAGATGGGAATGACAACTACACTTTCTTCATGTGATGTGCTGAGCACCCAATAAAGCACCACGAAAACCACCCTTGGGAGTTCCTGCCCTGCTTCACATACACCTCATTCCAAAACCAGTCTAAGAGTAGAGGAGGACCCAGGCACTCCTAACAAGCAGCCCTGGACTGACTTCCCAGACCTTCACCCAATACAGTCCTGTCCCTTAGAAAGCAACTTTTCAAGTGAAATCCAAGGAACAGCTCTACGAGAGACATGGGATCCAAGGAACAGCTTCTCTCCTCACCCCGAAACACATCTTGTTCCAAGCAGGACATCACGATGGCTAACTGTTCCATGGGATCAGTGTTGCAGACACCCAGACCTAAAGCACTCACAGATAACTGCACACTGAGAAGCAACTTTTGGACCAGTTCACACGTGGCAAGATGATTTCAGGCCCACCACACGCCTTGCCAGGATTATTTTGAGCCTAACCTGCTGTCATTAAACCAGCAAGGAATGATTGAAGAACCAGGTGCTTGTGCACAGCCTTGGGATGGTGGAGAGGTTTCCACCTCATCCAAGGGAGGTCAGCTCAACGGAGGAGCAAGGATGAGCCTTGCAGAGGAGACTCCTCCAGAAGTACACCTTCATTACTGCCTCCTCCTGGAGCATGTCTCTGCAAGCTCCACGTGGAAGTGATGAAGTGCCTTTTGCAGAATCGTAAAGGTTGGGAAAGACTTGTAAGATCATCTGTGGAACCCCAGCCCAGCCCCACTGTGCCCACTGACCGCATCTCTCAGTGCCACATTTCCATGGTTCTTGACCACCTCCAGGCACAGTGACTCCCCCACCTCCCTGGGCAGCTGTGCCAGTACCTCACCACTCTTTCCAAGAAGGTTTTCCTGATATCCAACCCAAACCTCCCCTGGTACAACGTGAGGCCATCACTCTCATCCTATTGCCATTACCTGGGAGCAGAGGCCAACCCTCACCTCACCACAACCTCCCCTTCAAGGGTTGCAGAGAGTGATGAGGTCTCTCCTGAGCTGCTTTTCCTCTGAAACATCCCAGTTCCCCCATAAAACAGTGTTCCAGCCCTAAGGCTGCCAAGAAGCTCCTGTTTCAGTGTAGAAAAACCCAAACCCAACACTCTGCTCTGCTGTACCTTCAAGAGGCTGCTGTGATGCTGCAGGGAGAAGCACACCCTGATCAAGAGACAGAGCAGTGATAACAAGACCTGCACAACTTCAGGGGGCCTGAAAGCTCCCACAGATCCCAGCGTAAGCTCATTTGGGAATTTACAGCTTGCTGTTAAAAGCACCTTATGAAAGCCCTTATCACAGGACTCCTGTGCCAGAGTCTGGCTAAGAACTGAGCACAGAGGGAAGGAAAAGATAAAGGCACTGGAAGAAACATTAATCCAGCTTGATCCAACCATGAGTAACACAGAGGCTCTTCTCTGGTTAGGAATTAGGGTCTGTCCTCTCTTTTTATCTACCTTGAGGACCCGTTCACAAAGCAAGGCACAGAATCGCTCCTTTTTAAGGAATTCTGATCACATAACACTTCTTGCAACATCCATGGGAAGGGATGTGACACCTCCTGCCTTGACTTGGTTGGCTCCTGGGCTCTCAGGCCCATGCAGAGCCCAGCCCTGCCAGGACGAGCCAAGGCCACAGGCTACTCTGTCCCCAGCCTGTCTGCACTGGTGAGGTGCCCAGCCAGGAGGCCAGGTGGTTTCCAAGTGCTCTGAAAAATGAAGGAATCCACTCAAGCTTCCTTCACAAGGTGTACAAGCTGTGTTCAACACCGTGATCAAAACGCAAATGTCATTAAGGACATCCGCAAAACCAAACCACGGGAGGCAGAAATCATGCAGCTTCAAGACTTACCTCCACCCATTTTCCATTGATTTCCATGAAGAGGACGCAGAAGGGGTCAGACTTGGAAGTGACATCCCTGTCCAGCAGGTTTTGGCCACAGATGGACAGCTCGACTTTGCAGACGCAGTACTGGGAGCCAATGGGCCCCGCTGGCGGTGGGGTCCCGGTGTACGCCATGGACTCCAGCAGCAGCAGCTCCAGGCAGTCTGCAGGACAGAGAGAGAGCAGAAAACCCTCAGGAGAAGCAGAAAGGTACAAGGACACACAGCCAAAAGCTCTCAAGGCAGCCACATGGGGTTCCCAAGGAGGAGCTCAGCAGTGCAACGCCAGCGTGCCCTGGCTTTGCTCCACAAACAGCAGGTTTGAAAGGAAAGGTGATGTCCTCTGTACGTCCCCTAAGAGAGCAGCAGGTCCAGCTATCACAGCCATCACCTCTGCCTATGGACAAGTTTGTTCACGGGACGTCTCACTGCTGCTCATCTCCCTCCTCACCCTCACTGTCTTGCCTTGCTTCTGCTGCGGCATGGCAAGGCAAAGCAGAAGGCAAGGGATCCTGAATGAACAGCAGAGCAGAGGGAATATGGAAAGAGAAGGGAAGCAGAGAACCAGCCAATATTAGGGTGAGAGGAGGCTGAGCTCGTCTAACGAGTGTGTGCTGGAGCAAGTTCACCGCACCGCAGCAGGGAAGGAGTCCCCTCCTGGATGCCCTACCTCTGTGTCATCCAGGCACTGAGCAGCCTTGGGTGCGTCCCCACGCCTTGGGTACACAAACCCTGCAGCTGTGGGCTGCTGAGAAAGGCCTCCAAGCTGAGCAGTGAGCTGGATTCATAGGGAAAGGGATCCCTGAGAGAAGTGTGAGGCCGATGTGACAACCGCCCTATGAGCGGGTGCACAGGGCGACTTACAGGGCCTGATAAGATCTCATCTGGTCTGAGAGCTTACTAGAAGCCTGCAATCAAAGCTGTGTTACAGACATAAACGAACTTTATACCATTATCATGCAACAACCCCATCCATCTCCCACAGTCCCACATCCATCTCCAAGCAGTTTTGCTTTCTGATGCGCAGCCCGCTTGCAACAAACATAAAATGTATCTAACAGAGAAGAGGGAAGAGAGGAAAGGGATGAGAGAAAGAGAGGAAGAGGCATTTTCAGACTGAGTTAAACTAATAAACTTTTATGGCTGGGGTTGCTATTGGAGAGACAGCTCTGCCCATCAGCTGGTTCAGTACCTTTCTTCAATAGCCCTCCTTGGCTCCTGGCTCATCTACATTATCTCTGAACCTCAAACATCATCTTCCAGCCCCTGATAAACCATCTGTTTGGCATGGAAATCCCAATTAATTAGCATCGGTTGTTTGTTCTGCCTGGGCACAAGTGTCAGCAGGAGCCCATGCTCTGTTGCTGGGGATGGAGCAGGGATGGAGCAGGGATGGAGCAGGGACGGAGCAGGGACGGAGCAGGGACGGAGCAGGGACGGAGCAGGGACGGAGCAGGGACGGAGCAGGGACGGAGCAGGGACGGAGCAGGATGCCACTGCTGCAGGGTGGAGGGAAGGAGGGGAACAAGCTCAGCTGCTCCTATGTGCCCAGGGCTCTGACTTTAACCCCTCTGTATCACAACTCAATCCTCATCCAACCAAACGCTGTAGCTCCCAATTTCCAGCAAGGAGAAATGAAGCACAGGTGAGGAACTCTGCTGCTGTGTCCTCGAGGAGAAATACCTGCTGGTTCTTCAAACAGCATCAAAAAAGGCAAAAAACCACCTCCCAGCCCAGCTGCCCACAGGCACTACCTGCCTGCTCCTCTCCAAGCCCGTGCTGCCAGCTGCAGCTAAAATAAAGATTCTTCTTTATTTCAACACCCAGATCATGCAATCTGTGTCTTAAAATAGGCAGGCCTGTTCTATTTATGCTGCTGTCTGATGCTGGTGCTGCCTTCAACAAGCACACGCAGGGCAGCTGCGCTGGCACGGATGGGGTCCTGCTGGAGCAGGGAGATCTGGGCTTCGTTTTTCCATCTCTCCCCTTCCCCCAAATCTCGTCAGTGCCTCACACAAAGCAGAGGCAGCAAATGACTCACTGGAAAAAGGTTTTTTCCCAGGGCTGGCTGGCACCAAAACATCTGAGTGTGTTGCACACTGCCTGCGCTCCAGCCCTGCCGTTCCTCCAGGAGCTCGTAGCCTAAGCACCCATGAGGAAGGGAAGCAGTGCCTGAAATCAGGGACTGGGACACTGATCTCTCCATCCTGCCTGTTGTGTCAAAGGGGTGCCCAGTAAAGGCACCCGCAGGAAGGCAAAAAGCAGCAGAGAGATGCCACCAGCATTTGCCTAAGATGTTTTTTCCATCAAGGAGTTGCTGATGCAGGCCAGCACTGCACTAAGGATGGAGATGCCCGAAAGAGGTCTTGGCCACCTGTGTCACCCCCTCCTGCAGCACGTGTCCCTGGGCCAGGTTATGGCACACGTGCACTGCCTTCCCCCAGGGCGTTGGGATACCCGGAGCTCGGAGCTGGCTCTCCATATCTATATTCCAGTCTCTCCTCTTTTTTTTGTTCTCGTCTCTCTGCATTCACCGCCCTAAATGAAGTCCTCCGACTCACTTGGCACCCGCAGCCAAATATTCTCCCAACATATAATCACAGCTGCCAGCTTCGTGCTCATTGTGCTGCCACGTGGTTCCCTAACGCACGCCCAGCTCCCCGCAGAGCGGCTCTGGGCAGCAGGGTGTACGTCTGTCCGGTCCCCTCATGCCCACATCACACCTAGGAACACACCAGGGCGTCTTTCTGACATCCAACGCTGCCCACAGCAGATGCCCGACGACCAGTCCTAAGCATAGGGTAGAGAGATGTGTTCCCCAGACCCTTTGTGGGTTCATACAGCTCCAGCAATCCAGCAATTCCTTCTCCTCCTCCCCCTCCTCCTCCTCTCTTCTTTCCTTCCCCCCGCTTCCCCTCCCTTCCTCTCCTCCTCCTTTTTCCTCCATCCTCTCTTTCCTTCCCCTCTCCACCCTCCTCCCTCCCTCTCCTCCTATTCCTTCCTTCCTATCTCCTTCTTCCTCTTTCTTCTCCCCCTCTCTTCTCTTCTTCCTCCCTCCTCCTCCTTTTTCTCCCTCCTCCAGAGAAGCCCAGCGAGCACCACATCTCACCGGTCACATTTTCAGCACTAACAGGAAAAAAGAAAAGCGAAAGAGAAAACAAACCACCCAAACTTGGACACGGGGTCAGAGTTTACGTTACGAAAGGAAACAGATGCACAGTGTTTAGGGAAGCAGAACAATAACAGCTCCTCATTGGGATGGAGGGTGAGCACAGAGCCTAGAGCGGTACAGCGGGTTCTGACGTGACGCAAACAAAAGATGGGAGCTCTTTTACTACGAGCAGCACCCTCAAATTTCAGTGATTCCTCTCCGTAGGAAAGAAGAAATGAACATTCTTCTTTTCACAGAGAACAGAAGCCTTCTCTTTTCCTGGGGAAGAGCACGGATTCCTGCAGGACGGCACAGAAGCCATGACTCAATTTACCCACTACAGCCTCCTACAAGGGGAGAAGCAGAGAACAGGAGAGATGGCAGCCAAGCAGGTAGTTCTGGGTTCACACAGAGGACATCTCTGAGCTCCCTTCTGTAAACAAACGTGATCATGGCCAGGATTATTTTGCAAAGCAAAGCGTTTGCCTCGCCCAGGCATCACGGAGGACTCACCAGCCTGCACCTGGTGTCTGTAACAGCTCAATATGCGAACGTGTCATCTCCCAGATGAACCCATCCTGATGGAAATTGTCCCTATAACCCTTGGCAGGGTCGTAGTTTGACTATTTCCATCCCTTTTTTCCCCCCAAAATCCCTACAGAGAAAGGATCTTCTCTCGCTTGTTCCCTGATGCTGGAACAGCCCAGGTAGGTCTGCTCGCACCACAGAGCAGAGAGAGAGCACAGAGCTGGCCCTTCAGGATATATATGTAAGGAAACAATTTCTGCTCAGAAAGAGCGGTGAGGCACTGGGATGGGTTGCCCAGGGTGCTGGGAGAGCTTAACCCAGCAGCAGCTGCCTCCAGAGGGATAACAGGGAGTAACTCACTAACCTGCACCCAAGCTTTGACAAAGCAGTCAAAGGGTTTGAGCTCAGGGCCCTGAGGAGCTTCTCCAGCCCTGAGGACAAGTGCTGCTGAGCTGCACTTCCCTGCTGAGGATGGGTGATGGCGATGGGACGGCAGCAGCTGGAGCCAGGAGAGCTGCTTTGAAGGCAGGCAGATGGGAGCAGCCAACCCCACGCGGTGCCCTCGAGCACGGCCAGACTCAGCTTTATCCACAGTCACCCCAGAACTGACCCAGGAGCCCAGCCAGGAGCTGTGGCAGATGGCACGCACAGAGCCAACACCTCCAGCTGCCTCTCTGCCACCACCACACACCGACAGCAGGAAAGGAACCGGCTCACGACGAAGGATCACATCACAACCCAGGTGCACCCTCCAACCAGGCCCACTGCCACTCACAAGCACATTTGGCTGATACACGCCGCAACAACCATACGTTTTCGCTTAAATACATGCTTCCTCTCAGGCTCAATTTAGGGAAATCTGTGATTTAGGGCAGAAAATACTGTGATGTCGCTGCGAATGCTGGCGATGGCACCGAACCCTCAGCAGGCTGCATTTATGAGAAGTGAATGCTGAAGACAAATCCCAGGGCCGGGGCTCTCGGGTGCAAGGAGCCAGGAGATGCCAGCAGAAAGGACAGCAGCTGCACTGATGCCTTCCCACCCTGATAGATGTCTGAGGTAGAAACTATTTGTCCCTTCCATCCCCAGCACACTTAATGTACACCAGCTTATTGAGAGGCTTATCTAACATATTAAACCCCAAATTCTCTTTTTCTGAATTGTAACTGAATTCCTATTTCCGGCCAACACAAGGCAGAAGGGAAAAAAACATCACTTCAGCAATGAGAAATATCCTTAAGCATTTTCCAATGGTGCTACACACCTGCAGCCCCCGGTCCCCTCCACCCCATGCAGGGGCAGGACTTGGCAGAGAGGGGTTTCCCAGTAAGCCTCCAGCAGCAGCAGGAGGCAGGGCTGGTTCTCGGGCAGGAACCAGGGCTTCCACCACCTTATAACCAATGCATCCCATCACGATCCCCAGCCCAAATCCATTAGGGTCACCATAAGCCAGCCGGGGCATGCACTGGGCTTGCTGAGCAGCCAGAACTTCAAAGCCTGGTGCTATAAATAAGCACTAATTAAGTTTTGTGCAATGCTTGTTCACACCGGCACGCTGACACCAAGCCACAATGATGCTGGGGACAGAAACCCAGCAGGAGGGCAGCGATGGAGGAGGCACTGGTGACACCCCTGCAGTTGGTGCTCAGCCTCATGCCGCAGAACAACATCTCTCAGTGCCCACCTTTTCCTAAATGATTTCCTCCCCACACGCAGCTGGCACAAAGCTTCACCCTGATGGGGCTTCGTGCAGCAGGGACGCAAAACCCCAAAACACTGCTTATAATGGGAATTAAGCCTGGTGGATTCACAGCTCCTTTCCAACAGCTTTAGAAGCCACCGGAGGGAATGTAAAACTTGCTTTAAATGGTTGTGCAGAGCTGGACATGTTGTTTAGCAGCAAAACTTGCGTTCCCAGCCCTGATTTGCTCCCATTTATAACACAAGCCCCACAATGCCTGATGCTTCCTCATAAACTCTCAGCTTCTGGAATCACGTCCTGGAAAACCCAGGAAATCTGCCCAGTCCCAAAGGCCCAGGAAAAGCAGCAGGCAAGCAAGCAGCTCAGCACGGAGCAGCAGAAGGAGCCCAAAACTCACCTGAGCTCCTGGGCGCCGCTCTGCACAGCACAGCGAGCAGCCGAGCCGTGGCCAAGGATGAGTCAGGAACCTCCACGGAGGTTTAAGACAAACCACAAGGACTTCTTTGCAGAGCTGTTTCAGCTGTTTGGTCGCTCGGCTCCTTTCCAACTGCCAAATTCACCTCTCCTGCTCCTCACCTCCCCAGGACCGAAAGCCAAGGCTCCCAAACAACGAGCAGCAGGGCGCAGCGGCGCAACCCAGGCGCTGCGCTCCCACCACGGAACCGCCGACGTTGACAAACACCCCGACATCGCCCGGCCGGCCGCACCACCGCCGCTAAGCCCCGCTAAGCCCCGTCCCTCATCTCAGCGCTCCCCGAGTTCCCCAGGCGCTACGCTCTCAGTATGAGACTCCCCAAAAGCGGGAAGGCAGGCGGAAGGAGCCGGGGCGAGAGAGCTGCCCGCGCCGTGCCACGCGCTGTGCCACCCTCCGTCCCGTCCCGTCCCGTCCCGTCCCGTCCCCACTCACCGCACGGCGCGGGCCGAGCAGCTCCCGCGGGGCGCGGGCTCAGCTCCTCGCCATGGCCGCTGCCCGCCGCCTCTGGGGGGCGCGGCCCTCAGCGCCGCCCCCTCCTCCGCCCCCTCAGGCGCCGCCGGCCCGGCCCGCGCGCGGGGCGCTGAGGGGAGCGGCGTGAGGCGCTGCCGTGGGCGGGAATCGTTCTCGACGCCCAGCCTGAGGCCGCCGCCTCCGGTCCACTTCAGCCCCGTGCGGCTCTCGGGACCCGACGTGTTCCCGTTGTGGGGCCGTGATAAAGATGAAGCCTCGTAGTAAAGGCTGTAAAAATGCTCCAGGCTGACGGTGCGGGTGGGAAGGGCTGCAGGGAGCCCGCAGCTTCCCTGTGGAAACTTTCCAGACACAGCGCTGGGAACGGGGGGCTGACAGCACAGCGGGGCAGCCCAACACGGGCGGGAGCAAACCGGGACCGGTGGCGTTGTGGAATCGTTACGGTTAGAAACACCTCGCCTAAGCAGCCCGCACACGAACACCTCCATCCCGCTGCTGCGTCCCACCGGGCAGCCCGTCCCGGTGCCCGACCGCCCTTCCGGAGAAGCTTTTCCTGACGCCCTGATTTCATCCCACGTCTCAGTTCCTTAAAACGCGAAGTGGTTTCCACACACCACGCGTCAGGCCCTGCCAATACAGCAGCGGGGCTCTGCTGACACCTGGCGTCCTGCGCTCCCGCTAAGCAGCCACAATCGGGGCTGACGGATGGCGGCATCGGGAATTTGGGGATGAAGCCGAAGCTGCAGGGGGTCGAGGCGCCCTGCCAGGTTCTATTTAATGTCTGAAACCCAGCACCGATAGCACATCTCACATCCCAACACCAGGAGTCAGGGGACTGCAGCTCCCAGCCTTCGTTTATTTTCTCATCTTTTTAACACATCCACCACTGCATCTGATCTCAGGGCAAAGGCAGCCCCCCTCCCCGGAGCCAAAGAACAACACTGACTCGAAAAGTAAAGCACTCATCCAAAGTGGCATTCCCAATTACCCGATGTCAAGTTTTTGCCATTGAAATAAGGAGGAAAAACAGCACACGCCAGAAAGTGAGGAAAAGAAATCATCACAACGCCTGAACAAAGTGAAATCTTGGAGTGCATCAGGGAGGCAGCCCAGAAGAGCACAGCTCTTATGGTGGCTGCTGCAAAACTGCTGTGCTGGGGTGTGCTGAGTGCCAGCACTCTGCTCCCCTTCTTCCCACTCAGCAAACATCGTTATTTATGAGACGCAGCACTAAAACAACGATGAAAATGCAGGAAATACAGCTTTTCAGCTCACAGTCTGGACTGGAATGAGCTCTTATGAACACTCTGCCCACCCTCTGTGTTTCCACAAGTTCTGGGAGCCCAGGGGCAGGAGGAGCCCCCTTAGCAAACCTGTTTGCTGGGAAGCTGTAGGGAAGCAGTGGCACCACAGCACTCGTGTGCCACGCTGTTCTTCCAGCAGACACAAGAAAGATTTGCATCTGAAAACCCAAAATGAAGAGAAATGCCATATTTGGTGAAGTTTATCCTTAAAATCCAGTGTTTAAATCTCAGAGACTTGATTACTTTAGCGAGTTACGGTGTACTACGAAATTTCACTAACATTTTTCTTGTGGCTTTGTCAGAGTGTAGCTACAGCCCTGATGCTGACCCTAAGACAAGGCCGGCAGCTCCTCCAGGAGGAACAGACGTCAGCTGGTCCCCAACCCAGGGCCCAGAGCTTCCGCCTCGCTCCCACTCCTGCCCTGCCCAAATCACAGCACTTTGCTCTTTCCAGGCAAACGCTGCTGTAAACAAAATTCCATGAGCTCACCACAAGGATTAAATATTTACAGCACAAACGCATAAGGAAAACATTATAACAAGTTAATAAATAATGAGGACGACATAGCAGCAACGCAAGCCGTCGTTCCACGCAGACAAGGGGCAGTCATGGTTGGTCTCAGCAGTACATCAAACTCAGTGCTTGGGATCTTCTCCCTTTGGTCTTCACGGGTCCAGCAGCAGCACAGCCAGGCTTTGGGATTCAGTAGTAGAGGCTTGAAGGATCCTTTCTGCAGGCCACACTGCAGCATGTCAAGAGAAATCATCCCTCACTTCACCTCAAAGACACAGTGCAATTGGTCATCCAAAACCCCACCGAAATTCTGGAAAGCAGGCATATCCTCTCACACAGAGCAGTCGCAGTTCTCTTACAAACTGTCCTTCAGCCTCAGTACCTTAGTTTTCTCACTGAAATACAAGGCAGTATCAGCCTTTCCATGTAATCGCCTTGCAAATACAGATCACTGTCCAACAACCATTGCTGGACAACCATTGATCCATCATTTGTACTGCAATAACACGAAGGCTTTACCAGGAAACAGAAGCAATTCTGCAGGAGGAAGAGCCTGCTATGAAGCAAGAAACAACCTATATTGCAGTCCTTAGAGGTATCTCACAAAGAGCTATACACAATTTTCAAGCAGCTTGTTCCAGTGCGTTTGTAACTGTGTCAACAGTTTACAGTTCTGTTATAAAAAAAAATAATTACATCCTCTCCTGGAGGATGTTCATCCTTTGATTGGAACATCCTGTAGGTGTTGCAATCTTGATTAAGGATAATGAAGTATTCTGCTGGTTTTCTGGAAGTGTGATCAGATGCATCTCATCATCCCAAAGCTAGCTGAAGAGTTGGTACACCGAGAATGCTGCCTGCTCAGCAGCAGCTCTTCAGTCTTCTGGTTTGCATAAAAGCTCACCATAAACAAAACACACGTAAGTGCTCACATTTTGTCCAGTGCAGTGAAGGAAGACATAATTACAGTTTTAACTGGAGGAACTTTGGTTTCCTGGGTTCTTCAGGATCCCTTTTAGTGCAATTCTTGAGGTCAATGAGAAACAGAGAGCAATTTCAACCAGGTGAGGGCTGTCCTCTGCTAACAGAAGGAGAAGCACAGTCTTGGGTCTTGACTTGTCAAACTTTCAGCGAGGCCCTTGGGCACTGGATTGTCCCACAGCCTGCAACAACAGCAAACACATAAATGTAGGACTTGGCATGGTGGGCCAGGAGGCAGCACACACCCAACACAGCAGTTAACTGGAAGAAGCAGCTTTGGATTTTTATAAAAGCTGGTCCAAAAGTGAGACAGGAGCAAAGCAGTCGTGTCTCAGCAACACAGCAGCAATTCAGCAGCTGCCTGCCTGCTAAGATGGACACACTGATCTAGGCTGGGAGAGGTTAAGGTTTTGAAATGTCCTCAGGCCAGGACTTCCTTTTGTTCCAGGACTTTCTCTGGCCTGGCAAACCCTCAGTTTCCTTGGCTTGGGTCTGGATGCCCTGCAGCATTCTAGTCCATGCAAGCCAACCTGGGGCAGCAGGCCAGCACAAGACACATCTCTCCCAGGACTGGTCACCCCAGCTTCCCCTAAGCGGGCCAACACTCAGCCTCAGCCCTCAGTGACACCCACTCACCTTATGAACTGAATTTCTGGGCACCTGACAAGTTGCTCTGCCAGCTTTGTAGCACCACAGGCACCAATGCGATTTTTCTCCAGGCTGTTTTTAAAAACGAGAAGAATTTTAGAAAGCAAAACCAAATCAAGAGCAGAAAACAGCAGAACCATCGCTGCCTCTTTTCTCTTGAAAAGCTATTCTTTTCCACAAGCACAGCAATGTTCCACAATGGACACCAGCCTCCTCTTGATGACCACAGCCCTATTTATACACAAAACATGCACTGTTGCCCACAACCTCCTTCTAGCAATAGGACTTGTAAGCTCTACTGCATGTTTTCCCCGCTCAAGACAAACAAAACTCAGTTCCTGATCCTGTGAACCACAAACTATTATTTCTGTACAGCTGAGGGATGGAAGGCACACGCTGTATGTTCCCAAGAGCCAGGGGGAGGGAAGCAGATGATGCTCCCTACAATGGAGTAGCGCTGCACTGTGATGCCACTGGATCAGAGCTGAGTGGGTAACATCAAACCCAAATCAGCACAGGAGCAGCATCAGTGCTTCCCGTATTCTCCTGTGGTCCAAGACCCACAGTTTGGCCACTACAGCCTGGGTTATGCATTTCTTGCCCTGACACAGGCTGTATGAGAAGGGTACTCATCTAGACCACCCCAGGCACCAAAGAAAAGTGACAGACTGCAAGCAGCAGCTCACCTGAGGCCGTTAGATGATATGATTCACACTCAAGGAATATCACTTTGTCTTTCCTGACTCCAACAGGAAGCATAGGCAGGATAGTTCTTGCTTAAATACCCACAGCAAACACCTCCAGTTAAATAAGTCTGCCTCAGCACCTCTGCGCTCCGTGCCAAGCAAAGCTGACCTTTGGCAGCAGGCTACGGAAGCATTTGGAGAGCAGCAGTCTGTCTGCTGCTCCTAGCATTCATCCCACAGGAGTACTGCAGCTGAAGGCTCAGTGCCACAAATACAAGTCTTCTGGTGCCACTCTCAGGGCTGTACTCACTCTAACACCTTCAGCTTTTCCATCCCTGGGAGGATGCTGGCCAACGCTTGGGCTCCTCCATCACCAAGGGCGTTCCAAGACAATCTAAGACAGACAAGAGATCCCAGGCTGTGAGTCA